CATTCGCAGACCAACGAAATGGACTCTGGATGGTCCTAAAAATTCACAAATGTCATTATCTGCATTAACACCAAAAATTCCTGAAAGTCTGCGATCGTCCCAGAATCAGTCGGAGACCAAAGAAATAGACACTTAAGGGTCCCGTAGAAGTAAAAAATGTCATTATCTGCATTGGCACTAAATATTTTAGAAAGTCTACGAGTGCCAAATAATCAGTTGCAGACCAACGAAATTTATACTTTATTTAAGAATGCCCTGCTAGATTGCCTAGACAGCTCAGCATTCCGGCAGAACATTTTTACACTAATTTTCAGAATGCTTTGCTGGATTGCCTAGCCAGCTGAGCATTTTTAACACTATATTTAGGAATGCCCTGCTAGATTGTTTAGCTAGCTGAGCATACCAGCAGAGCATTTTTCGCACTATATTTTGGAACGCTCTGCTAGATTGCTTAGCCAGCTGAGCTTGCGAGCAGAGCATTTTTACACTATATTTAGGAATGCTCTGCTGGATTGCCTAGCCAGCTGAGCATTTCTAACACTATATTTAGGAATGCCCTTCTAGATTGCCTAGCCAGCTGAGCAATTCAGCAGAGCATTTTACCACTACATTTTGGAATGTCCCGCTAGATTGCTTAGCCAGCTGAGCATAACAGCTAAGCATTTTTACACTATATTTAGGAATGCCCTGCTAGATTGCCTAGCCAGCTGTGCATACCAGCAGATCATGTTTACACTATATTTTGGAATGCCCCGCTAGATTGCTTACCAAGCTGAGCATAACAACAGAGCATTTTTTACACTAAATATTGGAATGTCCCGCTAGATTGCTTAGCCAGCTGAGCATAACAGCAGAGCATTTTTACACTATATTTTGGAATGCCCCACTAGATTGCTTAGCCAGCTGAGCATAACAGCAGAGCTTTTTACACTTTATTTTGGAATGCCCCGCTAGATTGCTTAGCCAGCTGAGTATAACAGCAGAGTATTTTTTTACACTATATTTAGGAATGCCCTGCTAGATTGCCTAGCCAGCTGAGCATACCAGCAGAGCATTTTTACACTATATTTGGGAATGCCCCGCTAGATTGCTTAGCCAGCTGAGCATAACAGCAAAGCATTTTTACACTATATTTTGGAATGCCCCACTAGATTGCTTAGCCAGCTGAGCATAACAGCAGAGCATTTTACACTATATTTTGGAATGCCCCGCTAGATTTCTTAGCCAGCTGAGTATAACAGCAGAGTATTTTTTACACTATATTTAGGAATGCCCTGCTAGATTGCCTAGCCAGCTGAGTATACCAGCAGAGCATACCAGCAGAGCATTTTTACACTATATTTGGGAATGCCCCGCTAGATTGCTTAGCCAGCTGAGCATAACAGCAGAGCTTTTTACACTATATTTTGGAATGCCCCGCTAGATTGCTTAGCCAGCTGAGTATAACAGCAGGGTATTTTTTACACTATATTTAGGAATGCCCTGCTAGATTGCCTAGCCAGCTGAGCATACCAGCAGAGCATTTTTACACTATATTTAGTAATGGCCTGCTAGATTGCTTACCCAGCTGAGCATACCAGCAAAGCATTTCTACACTTTATTTTGGAATGCTCTGCTAGATTGTTTACCCAGCTGAGCATAACAGCAGATCATTGATTTCCCTATATAAATCGTAATGCCTTTTTGCTTAGCTCACTGTTAACTGCTAACTTCTCACATACCGAAAAGTTAGTAATTTATTAAGGCTGTCATGAAAAAATTATCATTTATCATTATCTCTTTTGTTATTAAACTTTTCAAAAACAACCCGTTTTATTAACTGTTTATACTTTTAACATTATTATCATACAATTTAGAAAGGAATAAAAATAAGTTTCCACCAGGTTATGATTATTTTTAATTTATCATATCGATTTGAACTTCTCAATATCATCAGGGAAATACCTCCAGATGTCACTTCAAGACGTATACTGCAGTTTTCATAGCTATATTATATATATATAAAAGGAGATTGAAAATTATGTCATAGTATTTATTGAAAGCTGGCAGTTATAGAGTATGTTAAAGATACATTTTAAGCAAAACATGTTAAGTATGGGCCAGCTATCTCGTTAAGAGTTATCTGCCATAGGAGTTATCTGTCCTTAGAGTTATCTGCAATTAGAGATATCTGCTATTAGAGTTATCTTCCATGAGAGTTATCTGTCCTTGAAGTTATCTGCAATTAAAGTTATCTGCTATTAGACTTATCTGTCAATAGAGTTATCTGTCATGAGAGTTATCTTTCATTAGAGTTATCTGTCATGACTTTGCAACTAATGACAGATAACTGAACACGATCGGTAACCTCCATATTGTTTTCGCTTAAAATGTTTCTGTTTTTATAATTTAACATCCTCATTGGTTAAAATAAATTCTATGAAACAATTTTCCTCATATTTCTATTACTATTCAGTTATTAAACTCTGAACAACGTAAACTTTGAATAGATGTATCACACGCCTTTTAATATAAATAAAACGTGTCATACGGTAACTAGATACGACATGTAAAATAATATTATAACTCGTGTGAATTTGAACTTCTTATCGGGTATCCGCGCAAAAGACATGTACTGCTATTGAATTACTTAAGTAATAAATGTGATTAAAGCATAATATGAAAAAGGCAAAGCCTCAAAGCAAGCTCGGTTTTCTTTTACCGTAAGATAGTTTAAAATAATCGTTCATTTTTTTACATTTTCCGTTTTAAAATTGTCATTCGGTATTTTATACACTTCTTCCGTTTATTCTGGTTCCCCCTTCTATTATGGTTCCTACATAAGTGCGCAGGACACCAGTCTACGCTTCCGTTTTCAATCAGAGTACATCGGCTTTTATCGTTATCTTGTTATTCGAAAAGTTGCGATGTGTCCAATTCGGTACTCCGGACGAAAGTTTTCAAAACCATCACTTAGCAGGTACTCGCGTTACCGTAAAGCTTCGGACCAGCTCGTCGAGCTCGCTATTATTAACAAAATGCAATGTACATAGATATCTAGATATATTCACATAGTTTTATTAACTGCAGTCATTTTGTTAGAGCAGACAATCATGACTTTATATAACTTGTAGTTCACTTAGATAAATGACTGATGATTTTGTATATTATTCATTCGGGGTTTACACGCGGCGTTCTCTGGCGTTTCACGGAATAAACAAAACAATGTATTGGGCAACAGCAGCAGCAGCGGTGGCGGCGTCGACGACGGCAACAACAATACCAACAACACATAACACATAACATAATCATTAACAATACATCTCGAAGAGACAATGATCCACCATAGCACCTTTTAGGTTTTTTTGGTCAGTGAGTAAAATGTACGAGTTCTTTGACTATACTTAGTTCATAAAAAAATAATCTAGTACAGAACAATTTAGTACAGGTACATTTTGATAGAATTGCCATGAAGCTGTGATGTTACTACAATTTTGCGTCTGATAAGCGTAACGTCAAGATGACTTTAACACATTCCATTATTGGATTACACCGATAGATGATAACACGATTCAATGTTTTATAACACGTACATGCTAAACTGAACATATTCCATTATTGTATCACACTGTTAGGTAACACATGATTCACTGTTTTGTTACGCGTATATATCAAACTAAACAATTTTCCATTATTGTATTACACCTTTTGATTATAACACAACTCACTGTGTTATAACGCGTGATTATTAAACTGGACATATTCCATTATTGTATTATACCGTTAGATATCAACACGATTTAGTGTTTTATTGCGCGTATATAAAACTGAACATATTCCATTATTGTATTACACCGTTAGAAAATAACACAATACACTAGTGAATTGCACAATCGACTTCATTGTTTATATCCATTATTCGTCAATATTTTGAATGGCAACAAAACACACAATTTGATAATCCTTAGAAATTTCACTTGATACATCACTCTTATTCCATTATTCACGTAACTTTTGATTACAAAAATACACCAAACATTTTTTTTGATACAATTCATAGTGTATAGATTTATATCTATCATTCTTGTATTCCTTAATACCTTTTCATTACAACACAATAATTATTCCAATTATAATGTTCGATTACATCAATAATTATTCATTTTATTACACATTTCTTTCCAAAACGATATTCTGTTGATTTGAATTACAGATTTTATAACATATTACCAATATTCCACTATAGCACAATAAACTGTTCGATAACCACGGTGCATGTCACTGAATATGATTATAATTCCACTTTCTGTTTACAATACAACCCAATGGTTAATCTCATTGAGTATATCCATTCAACTTTTAACAACTTTACAACTAACCATTAAATCAATTTCACTGACACGTTTTCAGGAATATATCCATTTTTCTATTATTCCTTTTGATAACTTTACAACTAACCATAAAATCAATTTCACTGACACGTTTTCAGGAACATATCCATTTTTCTATTATTCATTTTGATAACTTTACAACTAACCATTAAATCAATTTCACTGACACATTTTCAAGAATATATCCATTTTTCTATTATTCATTTTGATAACCACACAAAATAATGTTTGTTATGTTTCGCAAGCGAACATCATATGTACTCAAATAAAAAAGGAATCCCTAAAAAAACGTCCGAAACGGCAAAATTAGAAATATTACAGGCTCAGATTTAATGAGCCTGTACTTGGACTGTACTACCATCCACGCCCCCTAGCACCGGCTCTCATTAAGCAAAATTCGCAGGTTTGTTCACAAAAACCATTGCTAAACCCACAGCAAATGGTGTATTTTGTTACGACACTTTTATATTATGTTTACTTATAATACTCAAATTTGTTTTTAATGAGTTCTATATGAATTTTTTTTCGTACTTAATGAAAGAAATGTTACATAAATGAAATGTATTATAATGTCTTTGCTTTCGGTATATCATGTAAACATTTCCCTTAAAATCAAAAGTTAAAACAGCATTAAATGTATATATAAACTTTATTAAAATAGTATAATAGTACAATATAAAATATAACTTGTAAATAGATTTGAAAAAAAGATGATGCTGATTTGGAATTATATGATTGTCAATAATATGAAACTAACTGAACTTTATGATGCTAAAACTAAATGCGTAGCTCTTGATGGATTTCTTGATGCTATTACTAAGTGTAATTAAACTAAAATAAAATGAGAACTAAGGCCATCAAGGTGACGCTAGTGTAATGACTGCCATATAATTTCTCGATGTTGGCTCTATAAAACTTAGTCATACGACTAATACGAAGTGTAATAATTTTTTTGTATTTAATATTCATTAACCTAAATATTTTTACTCTGCTGTGACCGTTACTGAATTTCTGGATGCTAAAAAGCAAATGTTATGATTCTATTAAACTGAAAAGAATTAATGTATCGTATTTGCTATTGCCAAAACTAAATATAATGATTCCATAAAACTTTAGTGCGGGGACACTTACTGAATTTCTTAATGCTAAAACTACATGTAATAATTCTATAAAACTAAGTGCAGTGACTCGTATTTGTATTGAATTATAGTTGCTAATACGAAGTGTAATAATTTGTTGTATTTAATACTGCTAAAAATTAAGTGTAATTACTCTATACAGATATATGTTTTTTAAATCTAATTTGGGTTTCAAAATGTTAAAACTAAGCGTAATGTTTTTATGACATATAACAATATATGTATATATACATCTATGTACAGTACTCTAAATATAAAAATATTGTTTAAATGGCGGTAACCGAACACTTTTATATTGCAACAATTTTTTTTTCATAAAAGAAAAACTCTTAAATGTACTTAAATTTATCAATAACTGTTACTAAACTATAAAAAATGAAAACAAATTTGAGCAATTGATATATATTTGATATGGTTTCTTAAAAAAAATCCAGGAAAAATTTTACTTCCCTATTAGAAATTAGGAGATTAAAGAGATATTTAGCTCTAATTGATAACGTTTATTTGTTGATAAAACAGTTAACTGCGTTCTAATTTTATCATTTAGGTGTCATGGTCATCGCGATTGTTCATCTATCATCAAATTTATTTTTTAAAATTAAACTTGTTTTAAATGCCCAACGTCGTTAAATTTGGTCAAGTCTTGGCGGGAAAAATAAGTCTGACACACGATGCTTAATTCTACACAAATCACGAAACGTTTATATTGTTATATAATGATCTTTAATCCTCCTCATAGCGACGTGATCCTGGTTCCAAAGTTGGCCGCTTTATTTTATACTGAAATAAGAATAATACGACTTTAAATATCTTTAATCTTGGGCGTGCATATATCTTCATTAAACACTTTTTTATTGGTTTAATATTCTAATCACACAAAGGTACCGATTTTTTTTAACATCGTACATAATATTGCACATGTGCATGCATAAAACATAAAATGAGCCGCGTCATGACAAAACCAACATAATGGGTTTGCGACCAGCATGGATCCAGACCAGCCTGCGCACCCGCGCAGTCTGATTAGGATCCATGCCGTTCGCTATTAGTTTCTCTACTTGTAATAGGGTTTGTAAGTGAACAGCATGGATCCTGATCAGACTGCGCGGATGCGCAGGCTGGTCTGGATCCATGCTGGTCGCAAACGCACAATGTTGGTTTTGTCGTGACGCGGTTCAAATAGCCTTGTTTTAATGAGATTGTATGACACACACTGTTTTCCCTGTTAGATTTATGCTTTAATCTTTAACAAAGAATGTGAAATTCTTATTACCATAATATGGGTAAAGTGTTTCACTAACGAGAAAATAGCTGGCTTAAAATGATACAGTTGTGAAAGGGTCTATTGAAACGGTAATCTTGTCGAGTTGAAATAGATAAAATGCATGATAGTAACATTATACTTATTGTGATAATAATACTTACGGGTGCTCCCGGGCTCAGTTGACGGAAAAGATAATCCCATGAAAAGTTTGTGTCTCTACCCGGACCTAAAACAAAGACAAACATAAAATTACTTCATTAATATTAGATACTTTTAAAACATTTCAAGATACCATCACTTTCTAAGATAGTACTTTACATCAGCTTGACAAGAAGCAACAAGATATTGACATAATTTAATATGCACCAACGATAGATAACATGGGCAGAATCACGTTCCATCACGTTTTATTTTATAATTTTAAAACAACAATGAAAAAGTTCCCTGTAATGTTTAAATCCAACAACTATTTTTCTATATAAAACTACTACTATAAATGTTGAATCTGTATGTGTAAATGTTTTTTTCTCAGCAGTCATCACAATACTATCATGTAGTAGTTAAACAGATATATAATTTATCAAACAAGGAGGGACTGCAATTGTTTGATAGAATATAGGTTACAGGTAAACGTTGTACCATTCAAAATAAGGGGAAAAATCATTGCCCTAACAATGCTTCTCATATGGAAATTTATATTAAAAGTCTTTGCAATGTAGACAAGTGTTATTGCTTCTCAAACAACAATAGAAGTAACTGCAGATGCAACAGAATATTTACAAACAACCAAAAAACTAGAAGAAAAAACATCAAGATGCAAAAATTACCATTGTCATATTCGTAATAACGTTGCCCGTTGTCGATAGAATAATCTGCATATTGCACATACGCCGGGCGTTCCTGGCTACCACTTAGCGGTCCTGATCTTACACCCGTGTTTATACGAACAGGTATCTGATCAAATACACTGGATTTCTCGTCGTAGCTTCTGTAATAATGACAAAAAAAATGTTGTATCTTATTTTAATGTCATTCCTACAAAATGTTAAAAGGGTAAAATGCTTTATCTTATAAACATATTTTCGTAAAATTGTGCTGTTTCCATAATACATTTGTACAACGGTCAATTCTGAAAATGTCTTAGTTATGAATATGAATATTGTATGTAAACAGAATAGAATAACTTGGTCATGGTTTAAAGAATAATTGAAGGGACCTCGATTTGCCAAGTCTCAAATACTTACGTGTGATTACAGTTTGAGTAACACCTGCGTCCACTTCAAACTGGTAGCTTCTTTGAATCATTTAGAGAAGCAGTTGAAGCTTTAACCCTTAACCTAGTTTTATCCATGCGACAAGTGAAGACCTAGACCACTTGGCACAACAGTGCTGTCTGATCATGATACGACTGTTCGCACTATTAAGAACTTTGAAAATTTGAAAATGCCCCTTAAATGACGAATGGTTTTGTCTGGATTGAACAATGGACACGTCCATTCAAGACATTAAGTGGTGTTAGGGTAAAAGTGCCAATATTACCTGTCATCTTCAGAAGAGCGTCGTTGTTTTCGTAAATGAAGGTAGACTATACATAACACAATTATCGCCACAATAATGAAGAACATTGGTATACCAATACCTAGACCTAGGATCAGTGGTAAATGATCTACAACAATAACAACAATCATTTTGTAAAAATTTAGACTTTTCACAAATATCAGCAACAATACATATATAACAAACTAATACTATGTTTATCACAATATCAATTTCTTTGCTGGCCAAGTATACTTACAAACAACTGGCTGAACAAGAACTGTCCGAAAGACATCGTGCTTGATTAATCCAAGCGTTTGACAGTAAGTAAAGCGGGCATAACTTTGTACAAATATAACTTAGAGTCATGGGACCTATGTCGATTATGTTAGCTTGTCAAAGGAAACAAGTATATGCATTTTCAAACCATTCCCTTTAGTGGTTATGGAGATACTAATTTGCACAAAATAACTTAATCAAAGTGTTACGGCGACGCCGATGTCGCCACCGACGCCGGGTGAGTACAATAGCATTCAAAGCTCTCCATATTCTTCGAATAGTCAAACTTAGATGTAAAAGAAATTGGTGGGTGTATTTCTATATACATTTATTTGTCAGAATATGGTACACAACTTTTCACAAGAAAAAATACTTGGATCAATATGCTCAACATTTTCGATGCATTCCTTTAGTGGATACATATAATTTGAGCCGCTATGACAAAACCAAAATAATTGGTTTGCGACCAGCATTGATCCAGACCAGCCTGCGAATCCGCGCAGTCTGATCAGGATCCATGCTGTTCGCTATCAGTTTCTCTACTTGTAATAGGGTTTGTAAGCGAACAGCATGGATCCTGATCAGACTGCGTGGATGCGCAGGCTGGTCTGGATCCATGCTGGTCGCAAACCCATTATGTTGGTTTTGTCATGACGCGGGTCATATTATCCACACAGCTGTAATACTCAGGAAATAAAAATGAAATATTACCTGTGTCGTCTTTGGATCTGAAATGTATAATGAAAATCATGATAAATATCAAGTATCTCAACATTACATATGATAAACATTTGGCAATAATTGGTGACCATGATTTTAGTCAGTGTTTGATATCCATGAGTTGATCTTCATTTAAGCTAACCCTTAAATAGTACAGCCTTATGAAATGCTGTATATCAATTTACATAAAAGAGTATATAAGTTTCGCTTAAGTGCGAGTTACATGAAAGGATTGATAAAATCAAATACAACATATTACGACATAATAGCGATAAAATTACGTGTAGGTGTATCTGAGAAGTTTGAAGTGATTTTTTGGTAACTTACTCGCAAGATGGGTTGCCGTTCGTTACAACACATTTATACGAACATTTTCCTACCGCTGCTTCATAAGCCTGACAAGTTAAAGTGTCCGAAAATTGTCCCCCTGTTGGCACTAAAAATAAAATGAAAAATGTAAATAGTATACTATGTTGTATAAAAGTATTACAACATTTATATTCTTTTCTACGTGTATATAAATATCGACATAAATTAACATTACCAAAATTATTCGGTATAGAGGCTTGCATAATATAATTTTATTCAACTTGTGCAATAAATTCAGTATTGAACTTACACTCATTCAATATCCTCTATGTATAAATATGCGTGTAATATACAGTATGTCTGTTTCAGTAGTTAATAATTTGAAACATATAAACATCAACAATAACGTTGATAATACATGTAGCAGCAAAAAATACCGATATAATAAATTAATTAATTGAATAATAATAAAAATACTAATAATAATGATGATGATGATGAAGATGAGAATGATGATGATGATGATGATGATGATGATGATAACAATAATAATAATGTTAATAATACATTAATAATAATAATAATGGTAATAATACATTAATAATAATAATAATAATAATAATAATAATAATAATAATAATAATAATATTAACAATGATAAAAATAATGATGATGACTTTGATGATGCTGATGACTATGATGATGATGATGATTGATAAAATTATCTTACAGGAAACATTGTTAACCGTTAAACCACTAGCAGTAGCATTATAATCAAAGACCTGCACCGTTTCCTGACCGCTGGCTAATTTAGCATTAGCTGCAGCGACACCTGCCACAGCGTCCGTTGGAACAGTGACGTCATAATCCACAATAAGACTGCCATTTCTAAATAAAAAATATACTCTATTTCTACCAATTTTACCATGCTAAAACATCTTTTAAAAGGTGAAATCAATAAACTTAATATATTTCGAATGTCAAAAAGTGTTCTTTTGATAACAGAGATATATCTATGTAAGTAAATGGGCGGACTAACAAATAATATTGGATTATTTAATATTTTAAGCTTGAGGCTTATAATGTCTTTTGCCCAAAAAAAGAAAGAATTTGCTATAGAAAAGCAACAAAAATAGCTTGAAAGCTTGAAAATATTGTTGTGGAATAGTTTCTAACAGTTAAAAGGTAAAATATCATATAAAGATAGACTATCTTCCTGTTATAATAATCTCAAAGATAATGTCATCATTTAATGTCAAAGTTTAACTTACGTCAAATTTAAATCTACGACAAAGTAAAACTTACGTTATACTATTGATGACTATTATGATAACGGTTCCTGTTTGAACACTGTTTCTGTAAATGACTAGCAGCTGAAAAAGATCAATAAGATACACATAACAATCCAGACGAGGACTCATACAAAATATTCACATTTACATGAAACTAAACACTACCAAAAGCTTCTTTAGAGAGTTACTGGAGATCTGAAATAATTTCACAAACAGAGATATCAATAAAATGGTGCGATTTTTTTTATTTGTTGAAAACAATATGGCGTGAATTATCTTTCACTTTAATGTTAAAGGGACTCCACTGAGGTTTTTTGACATGATGGGACCGAAAATATTTTTTTCAGACAAATCTACCATTTGATGAAGGTTTAGACAACTAATTTTTTTTCAAAATTTCAGATCATTTGCGCACTCCTTTCTTTACAAAATAATTACTCAAATAGCAAATAAATGGCCCAAAATGAAAAACGTTTAAACGCTTTTCACTCAAATTGGATTAAGAAAAGCATAACATACGATTTTCAATTTGTTTCAAAGTATATTTCTTAACTATCTTTGCATATATTTCTGTCAAAATACCCAAGCTCATTTATGTAAGAAATTCAAATGTTGTGTTTTTAGACTTTTAAACCTCAGTGTAGTCCCTTTAACTAGTGTACCAAACGTAGCACGCTCTCTATATTACTGACAGATTAACAAAATTCAACGTTGGAAACATTGTTCATATGAGCCGCGTCACGACAAAACCAACATAATGGGTTTGCGACTAGCATGGATCAAGACCGGTCTGCGCATCCGTGCAGTCTGATCAGGATCCATGCTGTTAGCTTAGAAACCCAATAACAAGTAGAGAAACTGATAGCGAACAGCATGGATCCTAATAAGACTGTGCGGATGCGCAGGCTGGCCTGGATCCTTGCTGGTCGCAAACGCAATATGTTGGTTTTGTCATGACGCGGCTCATATATAAAATTACCCTGTCATGGATTTCATCATAATATCTTTGCTTTGTATGTGTCAGTTCAAAATCAACACCTGTATCCACAGTGATGGGCAGTGTCAATACTGTATTTATCTTCTGACGTCCAGCTAATGTAAATAATTAAACCAAATAACATTAGAACTAAAGTTGTAAGTCCAAGATCACTAATATGACAAAATGTAAGTCCGGAATGAAAAATATCTTAATTAATGAACTCTTTCATCTTTAAAAAGTTGAATCTATTATATTTTTGTTGGCAATTTAACAGACGATTTTTTTTACATTAAAGTAAACAGTAATCGAACGTACGAACTAGGTTGCATGAAAAGTAACGACAGTCGAGCAGATGAAATTTGTTGCATGACAGGAACGGAAATTGAGCACACGACTCTGCACGAAAATAACCGAAATTGAAGAGACATCATTTCATGATAATAACGGAAATTGAACAGACGACATTGCATTACAGTAAAGGAAATCGACGAGACGAAAAAGTTGCATAAAAAAACGAAAAAGTTGCATGACTGTAACAAAAATCGAGCAGGCGACATGGCATGAAAATAACGGAATCGAGCAGACTGCATTTATTGCATGAAGGTAACGGAAAGCGAGCAGACGATACTATATTAAAGAACCGGAATCCAGAGAACGACATTACATTACAGTAACGATAATCGAGCAGACGACATTTTTTGCATGAATAGTAACGGAAACTGAGCAGAACATATTGCATGAGAGTAACATATATCGGTCAGGCAACATTGGCTGCATGGCATTAACGGAAATCGAGCAGACGAAATTTGTTACATGCAATGTAATGTTAACACAACAGACGAATGAAAGAATTAAAAATAAGCAAACTTTTTACGGTAAGATAAATAAAATAACATTTTTCACCTGGTGTAGCTATTGTTGTTGGGGTCGGTGTATTATCTGTGAAAAAATAGAAATAAAGATAAATCATAAAATGCACTAGTTAACATTAAAGTTTAGGAACAGAATACATGGTTTGGTGTTAACAAACTGTTTTAGTTTTTTCTTATGAGAAAGTTATCAATAAACCCATTAATATTCTTACCTGTTACATTGTAACTCTCAAAATTTTAAAGCTTGTTCAATAGTGAATATCATAACATGTAACATAAGTCAAAACAATTAAACTTTAGTTTCTGAAGATTCGGTATTGAAAGAGTATAAATCTATATCTTATGAGATATTTTTAAAAAAAATATCAACATTAAAATTATATTGGTTCTATTATTATATGGTTGATTAACGAAAAAAAAAGTTGAAACATAGAATGTCTCTGATATTTAACACACATGAATAATGTGCATTTATAGAATAAAATGTTCCGGAACAAAATATTATTTGCTATTCTAAGTAGTGTTTTATCCATATAGCTATGACATTGTGCATGCGCCACTCGCTTTAAGGCAATTTATTGCCATTTTTATTTCATACAAGCATTTTGGAAGTATTTTTTTCAAAAATCCAAGCAATAATTTTTGCATCAGATATATAGCTTTATACACTTGAAAAGAACAAATGAACTACATGTTGTAATTTATTAACAATATCTTCATTTAAACAGCCGTCACTCATGTAGTTAATTGAAGACGAAATCGACAAAAGGCAAATGATTGAAAAAAGTTCATGTTATCAATTCGTTACTTACATTTCCTTTAAGCATATACTGCCGAACTGTTTTTTTCTTATTACAAGCTAACTATGAACAAATGTTTTGCATAGTTTAGATATATGATAGTTGGATTACCTGTAACACAAATTCCGCTGCTGTTTCTTGCAAAACCTACTTTACAGGAACATGTGAAACCACCATCGATGTTGCTGCACCCTTCGTTACTCTTGTTACAATTATGCGTTCCTAATGTGCATTCGTCAATATCAGTCTCGCACCGCGTTCCTTCCCACGTGGCTAAACAATAGCACGTGCCATTTACACGGTCGCATTGCTGTGTGGTACTGACAGTATGGCCCTGTGCACAGTCACAAGATGAGCTACATTCATTTCCAAATGTGTTACCCGTGCATTCTGTGTAGTATAAAATAGTCGATCAAAATGATGCCAGATAGTTATTTTAAGAATTTAAAGTGCATCTCTGGCAATATAGAATGTTTGTTATGTTTATTTTACCGTTCCTGAGAACAACTAAAATAAACTTGATACAAAAAGAAAGTATGCATCATAGGTAATAACTTACAAGCAATTCAAACCGTATCCGTGTAAAGTATAAAATTATCAAAAAAATTTAAGAGCATTTTAAGATGTCGGCACTATCTTATAACAGTGCCATACTCTTCCACCGTATTATTTCTTTATCTTGACAGCGTTTGAACCATTCTAAAGAACTTTTTTATCAGAAGAAGTAGACAGTGGTAATTCTATTTTATTCTAATATTTTAAAGCCCATAAGGACATAAACAGGTAAACTAACGAATAGTGTATGTCAACAACATATATACACACTATCAAATATATGAAGATGATCAAATTTGATTGATAATGAAAATACCAGCAAAGACTTTCATAAGTTGTTAAATAATGAATATAAATCTTTTATCCACTAAACCGTGTTAACTCTTTACGCAAATTAACATTCCCATATACTCGTATACGATATATTGATGTTGTTGTGCATTTAGACATAATAACGACATAATACACATATTTTAAAAATTGTTATAATAAATATCACTAGCTGTAAAAAAATTGTAATCCTTCTGATTTTTCCGAAATGAAACAGTTTTATTATATTATAATATTCTTTGAATGTATATCGATGACTAGATTTTGTGTACAGCAAAACCTCACATCCAAAAGCCCCCAAGTTGACTATATGGTAAAGTTAACTAAAGTCCCTTAAAGCACATCGCAGCATAGGCAATTTAAGCCTTTCAAAAGGCGAACAAAAGTCCAATGTACGTAAAAGCAAAATAACCAAAGTGCCGCCAACGAAAAGTTTAAACATTTACTTAATTCATGGCAGTATAAATTTTTCAAATAAGTCGGCAAAATTTTAGACATTATAAATGACTGAAACTTACTTCGAAACTTACAGATTGCGCATGCGCAAAAAATACTTCATTCTTAAAACGGGCCGTGTCGTAAAAACACTATTACATTTTTTTTGTAAAAATGGCATTAAAACATATATTGTAAGTCCAAACGTAGAAGTGGATCCGTTTGAACAATAAAGTTGATGACTGTCGGTACATGTAATAATGTTTCTTTCACTCAAATGATTGGACGCCATATTGTAATATAACTGAGAGTACCTTCACACCGACTTAATGCTGTTTTATATCCGGTATTACAGGCACATACATGTCCCCCAGCTGTATTTGTACACGTGGCGTGTTCAGGACAACTGTGTGTTCCAGTTGAGCACTCGTTAATATCTGCACATGTGGCGCCCTCAAAACCGTCCTTACATAGACAACCCGTCACGATACTACATCCGGTTGACGAAGTGTCGTTACAATTACATGTGTTGGCACAGGCAGGTCCCCATTTTCCCGTTTCACATTCTAAAAGGATATAAATAAAACATTTAAAGGTTAAAAAACTGTACTGTCTATGATAAAACAAGAGCGATCAGTAATCACATGTGTCGCCTCATGATGGCCAATTTCATGTTGGGACAAATTTTGTGACAGACGGACAGACAGACGGACAGTGCACAACTAGACTAACCACTTTGTACTGATCATTCCTGTAAAGTTTGGATAAAATTGCACCAGTAGTTTATGAGGAGTAGTCCGGACAAGCTTTTGCGTATCTGGCAACACACAGAAAAAAACACCTTTTTATCAAAGGGCCATAACTCGGCCAAAAATCATTCAACCGGAAAACCCGTGCAATATGCGCAAGGACTTGAGCTACAGATCAATCCTGTAAAGTTTCATTGAAATTGCATAAGTGGTATAAGAGAAGTAGTCTGGACAAACTTTAAAAATAAAATTTTTTAAAGGGCCATAACTCTAACAAAAATCATTGAACCGGAAAATGCTGACAATATGCACAACTAGACTTGGTACTGATCATTCGTGTAAAGTTTGGATGAAATTGCACCAGTAGTTTATGAGGAGTAGTCTTGACAAGCTTTTGTGTATCTGGCAACACACAGAAAAAGAAACCTTTTTATCAAAGGGCCATAACTCGGCCAAAAATCATTCAACCGGAAAACCCGTGCAATATGCGCAAGGACTTGAGCTACAGATCAATCCTGTAAAGTTTCATTGAAATGGCATAAGTGGTATAAGAGAAGTAGTCCGGACAAACTTTAAAATTAAAAATTATTAAAGGGCCATAACTCTGACAAAAATCATTGAACCGGAAAATCCTGACAATATGCACAACTAGACTTGGTACTGATCATTCCTGTAAAGTTTGGATGAAATTGCACCAGTAGTTTATGAGGAGTAGTCCGGACAAGTTTTGTGACGGACGGACGGACAGACAGACAGACAAACAGACAGACGGACAGACAGACGACGGAGAAGTGATCCCTATATGTCGCCACTACTACGTAGAGGCGACACAAAAACGAGGTTACGTCAATTCAAAGCTGCCAATCCGAAAACAGTTGTTTTTACGTTCAGGTGTTAGTCCCCTAAAATAAGCAGTGTGCCTTTTGGATGTTTGCTTTAAATTTGCCCTTGTGAACTTCTTTCTGAATCCATCAGACAATATTTTAACACATTGATGTATCAGAATTAAAGGGAGAAAACGCATTCTCAAAACGGAACAAGGTATACATATTTTATCTTAAAATATAGCACACAGTACAGTAAATTAAGAAATAAATAATTAAAGTATTGGATTTCTACCATAAGTTTGGAATGTTTTAGTTGTATATATACATGGTACTACAAGATGCTAAACTTTAGAGTATGGACAAATGAACACTAGACCAAAACCCACAAACCAAGCGCTGTAATTTATTGGTAATGGCGTATTTACTATGCTCTTTTCTCCTTTTTAGTTTTATTTTGAAGAAAATCAAACCTGAAAAAACACATAAAATATCACTAGAAATGAAATAAGAATTAAAAAGATGATTCGTGTACCATTTTCACAGTCAGTTCCAGTATATCCGTCCGCGCATGTGCAGCTGTATTTATTGATTTCATTCTTGCACGTTGCTCCGTTCTTGCACGGTCCCGGCTCACATTCGTCAATATCTGTTATACAAGGGGTTAGAAATAGGTCAGTTACAGTGGTTAAAAGTGGGTCAAGGCTTTATACAACTAACTCAAGTTTCTTAAGTTAAAACAAAGGCAATCCTTATCGTGATTACTTGCACCAGCATTTACCCGTTCTGTTAAATTCAAAAAGGTCATGTACTGTTGTGTTTAAAATGAACTCAGATTGCTGGTTCTATCCAAATCCGGACGATGACACTCTGTTAATTTTCTTCTGCTTTTAACCAGCGAGCGAGGATAATTCACAATAACGTTTACATTGAAATATGTTCGAACATTTTTATATATTTTGATTTCCATGAGGAGTTGAACTTAATATTAAATAAAGATAAATTGCATTTTAAGCAGGTTTTAACAGTAATCACGATGAATGGATATCTGCGACACATTTCTTGTCTTTGATAGCAATTCCTCAGAATGTTTATACAGCCAAGATGCTAATTTATGATCACTCACAAATAAAGTTCAATTTTTCAAATAATTTTGTTATTATTTTAAAACATATTGTAGAGAGGTTGAAGTTACCTGTTTCACAGTTTGTCCCTGTATAACCATCCACACATGTACAGTTATAGCCAGGTATCAGATCAACGCACGTGGCGCCATTCTCGCAAGGGTTTCCTTCACATTCCTTAATTTCTGGATACCAAAGAAATGAATTGAAATAAATTTGCTCATTCTTAACTAAAACTACCTACGACTCGGATCAATAATACATCACTGTTAATCAAAATGAAAAAGGAAAAAAGTGTAGTCAAAACTTTCTCAAAGTTTCTCAATCAATTTTAACAAAGTGGATCCCGACATATTAACATATTTGATAAATGCATGTAAATTTACCTGTACAAACGTCGTTGATAAGCTCGTAGCCTGCGTCACACAAGCACATGTAGGACCCGTCTGCGTTCTCACACCGCGTCTTGTGCGCATCCGTACACGGGTTCGTACCCTCCGTGCACTCGTCGATGTCAACTGAACAGTTTTCACCTTTCCATCCCGTTTTACACGTGCACACGCCATCAATAGAGTTACATGATTCAGTATTCTCTACTTTGCACGTGCATTCCTGAGTGCAGTCTGATCCATAGTGGGTAGAATCACAGGCTGAAAAAACAATAATTTCATTTTCATTGCTAACTGCTGATTTACTGAAGATATTTTTTGTAACCTGTAAACTTGATTTTGTCGTTTTATATTAATTCATTTTCACATAATTATAAACATTACCCTTTTAATTAGGATTGTTCATTAATCACTTATGGATTTAATTTATACTTTGTGTTTTGCAACAATAATTGTATACGACGCTATATAAACATATCATTATTCCGATGGAAAAAGGTAGAAAAATGATGACGACCAACATCATGTTATTTCAATTAATGATGAAATAGACTGTTCTACATTAAAGGAACATTATGCCTTAGGACCGGATAATTATTTTCTTCTTTCCAAAGAGTAATTATGAATTATATAACATTGATACATGTGTGTGTATATATATATATATATATATATATATATATATATATATATATATATATATATATATTCACACATATCTTCACTTACGGGACCTATTTATAAGACCGAGTTGAGTGGCATTATTTCATGCAGTCAGTTTTTATATATGCCACTATGTAGGCATATAATGACATTTCCAAACAACAGAACTAAGGGGTACTAAGTTATATATATCAACTATATATTTAATTTTAATATAGGTGAAAACATATTGACCAATAACATAAAACCCCATTAAAAATATATACATTTGTGGGACATATATCATTTACTACTAAAACCGGCCTACGGGCACTATGTTAGAAGGGTAGCCTACGCCCCCATACATCGTTTTAAAACATGCCAGAGTTGCGAGGCCTTATGTATGCCCCACATTAAATATAAACCCCACAAGTATGGTCTCAAATAGACCGATGCCCCGTAAATGGAGGAATGTGACTGTATATATATATATATATATATATATATATATATATATATATATATATATATATATATATATATATATATATATATATATATATATATATATATATATATATGTATTATATGATGTTTTAGAGCACGTTGAAAATAATAGCGCTGAATGTGAAATTATTTATTATGCAGTAGCTAGGTGGTTATTTGACTTTCATACAAAAAATTATTTACAAATCTACATTTACAAATGTATTACCAAAGTAGACAATAAAACTATTTTAGTAACTTTTTGGAATCTCAAACAGTACATCAACATTTAAAAGCTTTTTAGAAATAAAAATAAAACATTTTAATATAAATCGCGTTTGAGATAGATAAATGTAAAGCACAGACAAATCCAATTCAAAATGTTACCTAAAGTTTCTTAAGAAAGAAAAATGCCAAAATTTAACTTCAATCAAAAGTTTAAACTGCAAGAATATGACTATATTTAGATGGAGTGTCATTGGAGGAAACTCATGGCCCCGCCCTTATGTTGGTACAGTATTACAACTTAACCACGCCTTAATACTGATAAAGAATTACATGATTACGCCCTTGAAGTATCACAATATTAAAAACTTAACCACGCCCATATAGTGGAACAATATTACAACTTGATCACGCTCTTGTAGTGGACCAGTACTACAACTTGACACCGCGCGCTTCAGGTGGTACAGTATTTAAACTTGACTACGCCCTTCAAGTGGCACAATATAAAAACTGGATGGCATCCCTGCAGTATTTCATCTAGACCACGCCTTTGTCGTGCTACAGTATCACAAATGTGCAACGTCCTTGTAGTGAAACAGTATTACAACTTTACAACTTGACAACACCCTTATTGTGATGCAGCAGTACAACGAAACCCCGCCTATATAGTGATACAGTTTTATATCTTGAAAGCGCACAGCATAATATTTAGACAAGTTACCTTCACATCCTCCAAGAGTGACTTCGTATCCAGGTTTACATGCACATGTATGACTTCCAATTGTATTTGTACAAATAGAGTTTGCTGGGCAGTTATTTGTTCCTGTTTCGCATTCGTTAATATCATCGGTACACGTGACTCCTTGCCAACCGGGAGCACAAATACATCCAGTCACATGATCACATCGTTCAGAATTATCGGCGTTACAATTGCAATCTGTGGCACATTGTTCACCCCACTTATCAACCGAACATTCTATAACGTCAAATCAAACACCATTACACACATTGACAATAATAGCAAATGTAAATTTTCTTCTCATTAGGTAATTAACACAAGTCTTTAAAATGTAGAACAGAATCAAATTTCGGAGAAATGATCCAAATTTAAAATACTATTTCGGGAAAAGGATATCGTGAAACGGGAACCTACCAGTAGTTGATATTGACTCGGCATCTATTTCCATTTATTCAATATTTTATGATTAAGTTGCGTTAAAAATAATTTATTTGACTGTAATTTATCAAAAATTGTTCAGTATACTTAGTATACTCGATTCAGCCTTAATTTACATATTTTACTGTACTATTTGTGAAACGACCAAAAACGCACTAAAAGTACTTTCGCGAAACTCGTAGGGTATATGGTAATCGGCAAATTGTTTTAAATTTTAAATTTGCATGAAAACCATTGAGATAAGGAACCACAGGATCGTTCTAATTTCTGTCTACTTACATACAATAAAAACAACTTACTTGTACACTCATTTCCGGTTCCACTGTATCCAATATCACATGAACAAGTAAAGCTTCCTTCTGTATTTGTACATTTTTGATTGCAGTTACTTGTACCTCTTTGACATTCATTGGTGTCTAAAAATACATTATAACGTTTTTGTCATGTTCAAATTATACAATCATGAAAATGAATTATACTAAACCGCATTTTGTCTATTTTTTTTTTGCTATTTTGCTATTGATTTGAATTTGAAAGTAAGTTATAGATAGATGTCGACGCCGATTGTTAACTGGATTGAAAATATCAAATAAGAATGGACACATTAAAATTCTACAAACAAGTTACTTTTAGTATTTTTAGTATTTTATACTAATAGGCCACAAAAATGGTACTTTCAGAAAATAGTAGGAATTGTTTAATTATATCAACATCTTTATTAATGTATGTAGCCGATGCCTTACACTAATATGAACTGACAACATAGACTCAATTAAACAAGTTTTATCATATTGTCATTATCACTTACCAACACAGTTGTCGTTCTCATCTAACTCAAATCCGGAATCACATTGACACGTGAAAGAACCGACACTATTACTACATTGAGTTTTATGTGTTTCCGTGCACGGGTTTGTCGTTGAGCATTCGTTCACGTCATCAGAACACGTGTCGCCCTTCCAGCCCGTCATGCAGGCGCACGATCCAGTTTGTGAGTCACAAGTCTCGGTATTGGCAAAATTACAGGTACATACTTGGACACAATTCTTTCCAAAATGCTTGGAGTCGCACACTTTGAACATAAAAGAAAAACTACTTTATTTCAAGCATATCACGCTCATAGTTTTGTAAGGGAAAGTCAATGACCGGATCTGCCAGGCATCTGACTAAGATTTTTGCTTGCCTGACTATTGACTACACATGTATATTTAAACCACTAAAATACATATATAGATCTATAAACCAGTCAAAAATTATCAGTGCCATTTGCCGATCAATGGGCACTTTTGTTTTTAAAAAATCTCATTCTCTTTTCTAACAGTTGAAGTAAAGCAATCGTTTTGTATACTGAATATTTTGTAAGGAAAAAAAATATTTTAAAATGATGGAACAAATGCAAGAAATCTGAAGCAAATATTTTTTAAAATTTTTTCTCAAAATGAAACTACATCTTTATTCGATTGTAATCCTATATTCCTATATTCGAGAGAGGAAAAAAAACCTGCATAAATTGAAAGCATCCGTGTATATATACTATACATATACTATATATACTAAGTGGTTTATACAAACATCACGCTTATTTAATGAAAAACAATATTATAAAAAATAATTAATACATGTATTATAAAATGCGCACATATGTCAGAATCGTGGAATCTAATTACAGACATATCCCATTTTATGACATCTTATGAAGCATATATTACTCGCAATAATATATGTTATAACCAAAGATACATAATAATGTTCAAGTTGCAATGTTTCTAATATATATTACCTTCACATTTGTTCTCAATATTTTTGAAGAACCCATCAACACAGTCACAAACAAACGAGCCTTCAGTGTCTATACAGTCAGAGTTTTCAGGACAATTATGAGGATTTGTATTATCTGTGCATTCATCAATATCAGTGCCACAGTCACTTCCTGTCCATCCAGTTTTACACGTGCATGCACCTGTATCAGCATTACACGTGTCCGTGTTGCTTTCTTTGCATGCACAAGTCTCGCCACAGTTAACACCAAACGATCCTAACTCACATGCTGTAAAAATAAATGCATGACATCTTAAATATATTCAACCCCAAAATAAGTGTTTCTTTATTTAAAACTGTATCTACTACGACACGAGTCTTTTGTGATTAAGTTTTTATGCGTTTAAATATGTTCATGTATACTGATTTTCACACAAGTACGGAAGCGTTCTGGTGCCAATTTAAAATGTTCTATAAAAATCCTAATTAGGAGTTATAACGTAGGACTCTAAACTCCTATGAAGGACTTTATGACTCCTACGTAGGCCTTTATTACTTCTAATAAGGCCTTTTTATCTCATACGTTGGAGTTATAAAGTCTTTAATAGCAGTTAAATAGACGTTATTAAGTCCTACGTATGAGTTATAAAGTCCTATGTAGAATATCCTATGTAATTATGCTTTTATCTCCTACGTAGGAGATATCCTTTTTATAGAACATTATAAATTGGCAACAGGACACTTCCGTACACAAGTGACAGTTCTGGTGATGCAAAACTAGGGTACAGGATTTATTTCACATACAGTATAGGATAAAAGGTAGAAGACCATTTCGAATAAAACTTAACATAGGGAAGGGGAGATAATCAGGGACATTAAACAGTTGGCCTCAAATGCTCACCTTTGATTAAGAAAAGGCTAAATTGTTTGGTTCCACTATACAATGCTTATTTAAAACAAATTAGATGAGCGAAAAGATTTATCAGGTACGATCATATACTTACGTGTGCACGTGATAAGATCATTGGCCAGTTTGAAACCTCTGGAACAAGTACATGTAAACCCGCCGTCGTTGTTGTTACAATTTCCGTTAACACATGGATTTGTTGGGCTACATTCATCAATATCTAAATATAGAAACAGCAAAAACTAAACTTCTTGATTCTTAAATAAATACCATTATCACAAGGTAACAACCCTTTCACTACCATTACTTAATAATGTCTTCTACCTCCGCCACCAAGGTGACCCATCAATCAGCATCAATCATTGTCGTCGACCCCATCAACATCAACGACATCATCAAATTTGTTATCATCATCATCATCATCATCATCATTATCATCATCATCATTACAAACAGGGTCGAAGCCGTTGTAGTCATAATCACATTTATCCATCGGCATCATCGTTATTATTATCGTCACTATCATCATATTCAGCAGCAACAGCACTACAATAACAGCAACAACAACAACCAATAATATCTTACCTGTACAAGTTTTATCAGCCTCGTTTGCCTTTTCAAATCCCTTTTTGCAGGGACATGACTCTTGACTTTGTTCGAGTAAGCAGTCGGTGTTAGCGCCGCAACTGTTTGCCGCATCACACTCAGATTGCACTGTAGCGATATGGAAATAACTAAATTAGCTCCCTTAATGATAATTCCACCATTTGCTTACAAGCACACACATAATTGAAAATTTTGAAAGTGTATGACTAATTGGTTAACCGTTTGATAAACGATTAAAAAGAATCAATCTCACATAAAAATAACGTACACAGAGACGATTTTTAACATTACAACAAGCTTCATTCAGCAGGTATCTTGTTAAGGTGGTTTCTAAGTCTGGTTTACAAAATGTACTTTATATAAATTCAGTTATAACTGAATAACAACAATGCAATATAGCTACACATTAACGCATTAAGTAAAAATCAGCACGCTAGCCTATCTGACCCCACCTTCTATCATAGTTTCACATAGTGTATGTACATGTATATAGCTTATAAGAAAATACATTCCATTGCTGACATTGTAACATCTTCAAAAGCACCTATGTCTTTCTATTTCTGAACGCATACAGGAACACAGGTATACTACTGGTACCTAGATAACGGAAAAGAGATTCGAACCTGTGCATGTTTTCTGGTCCTCTTCACTCAGTATATATCCAGGGTTACAAGAACATTTGTAACTGCCCTCAAAGTTGTTACATATTTGACTACAGTCATTGATTCCGGTACATTCGTCAATATCTACAACAGAACATTTTCAAACAAATATTTTTAAAGAATTCATTCTTTTACGTTAGATTATGTTATCATATCCGGCATTATACATGTAGAAATAACACATGTCCCGAGAACTGAGAAAAAAACACCCGAGGAGCTATGCATTTTAACTAGGGGAGAGAACCTGAACATTACGTTTTCTTAAGTCTATTTAGATTACTCGCTCCTGGAAAATATTGCAAGGGCGATAACAATACCATCTTTGACGTCACATTAGACTATACATGAGGTATAATAATATAAAAATACCACACTTCTCTCAGGCTAATAGTGCATATCAGCAAGCCTAGAACTCAAATGACACCCTAGGCCATGCAGACGGATTAGAAATTTATCAATCCGCATTCTTACGATTAATCTTATATATTTACTTATAAACTCACTATAATTATATCTATTGCCAATGAGCAAAAGAACCTATATTGCCAATGAGTAATCTTTAAGAAACTAATAAAATTCCAAAAATAGGAAAATAAAAAGCTTTGAGAAATAAAATAAGATCATTTCTTCAATTGTCTTACCGTCACAGGCGTTGCCATTTTTGGTATAACCATCTCTACAACTGCACGTGAAACTTCCAGGGTGGTTGTCACATATTTGAGCGCACGTGTTCAGCTGAGGATTGTTGCACTCGTCTGTGTCTACAAATAGAAGCAACAACATTTATTCGTATAACATCTCTACTACAAATATATATATAACACTTATTTCACGGTAATGGCACATTTTCATGTGACCAGTGTTCAATTTGGTCAGCATTGACATATTTTATTCATACACCTAAACGACAAAGATTTTGTGCAAAATATTTTAAATCTCTGGATTTTTACATAAAACAGAACAACATTTTACAAATTTCTGCAAAAAGCAACAATAGTCCATTAAATGTATGCATATGTCTGAAAAAATCATCATTTTTAAATGTTCCAATTTGTTGAAAATATAAATTTTGAGTTACAAAGTAAAAACAGTGTTGATAAATTAAGCAAAATAGCATGTAGAAATTTTAACTGAAACATGATAAAACTGAAATGTAACACCATAACCGCGATGTAAATGATGACATACTGTTTCAAAATGGCCGACATATGGTCTACGTCTGGCCTATTTAAACTGGTTTTGACTGGTAATATTGTTGTTTCTCTTGTGCCATACAGCAGAAAATACCTATATGTTACAGGTTATGACAATTTGTGTACCATAAGTTTCATTTGTTGTTTTCTATCATATTCAATAACGTTAAGTACCGTGAACTAACAGGAGCACAGTATACTAGTTTTAAACAGAAAATTTGTTAATTTATTTTGTTTCAGCTTGCACATTGATAGATCTTACTGCATAAAGATTACCGCCATTTTTATGGTAAAGATAAACTTGTAAAAAGTGGCTTTTGGTACACCGGCTATATTGTTTGTTTTCTTTAAATACCTAAAAAATTCCAACTACCTCTGTTAAAGTCATAATGAAGTAAAATGCCAGGATCTTACGCGCTGTCTCTTCAATCTTCTTTGATTGTGACACTGTTTTATGAAGTTTTCGAATAAATCGTTTTGATAAATACTCTTACCTTCACATTGGCCGTTCGTATTATTGAAATATCCATCCTTACAGGGGCAGGTAAAACTGCCGGGCGTGTTAGTACACACAGTATTGGCACGTGTGCACGGGCTAGTTGCTGCGTCACATTCATTCCTGTCTAAATCACACTTTTCACCGGTCCAACCATCTTTACATACACAACCTGTTATAGGATCACACCTAGCTGCCCCGACCCCACATTTACACTCTTGTAAGCAGTTTTCTCCGTAATGAAACGCGTCACAAACTGTAAGGGAAAATATCTTACGTTACGACCGAAAGGTAAAAAAAAGTGTTTACCAAAGTACTTTGTACATATATAAGAAATCAACGGCTATTTTGTATCAACTTCGTTGTTCATACACGTTCCATACAAGAGTTCTTTATAATATTTAAATAATGACTTTCTGATAATCCAAATTTGTAAAAAAAGTAAATAATAAAAAGATAAAGAACAACCGGAAAAAAAAATTATTGTTAATAACTCAACATCGAAATATCGTTTTGTAAAGAGGATATTCCGTTAAGTACTATCTGAAAAATGAAGCTATCCCAATAAGGCAAATATGTGAAATATAAGTATGTTCATTCAAACATAGGATGTTTTTTACCTGTACACGTGATTCCGTCGCTTTCCAGAAATTGACCAGTTGGACACGTACACGTGTAACCGCCATTTACATTTTTACACGTGTCTGGATATTCACACTTGTTCAGGTTACTATCTTCGCATTCATTTATATCTAATAAACAGAATAAAATGTTTGAAATAAGGAAACGATATACAAACCATAGAGCAGAAATTCTTAAGGATTTTCGTTTCTGACGATGCATCTAAAAGTTAAACATTGTTACAAAGTTGTATATGTTTTACACTTTAAATAAAATTTCAGCTGGAAACTATTAAGTGAATAAAAATTGAAAATATTTTTTTTTTCAAAAATATGTTCATGATTGCTTTAATGTATACAAACCTAAACACATTCAAAATATGATGTAATTGCTCATGTGTTAAAACAAATGACATGTAGAAGTCTTAAAAACAACAACAACAAACCAGCAAAAAAAATTCACTATTTAGGAAAGAATATCCCAAGAATGTTTAACATATATAATATATACTCCACAAGTTAAATTAAAATTTCATTTAATGAATTCTCTTCGTGAGTAGTCAAATTTACGTTTATGTGATTTCCTTTGCATGCTACTTATTCATTTTTGTTATTATATTTGAATATATCTGATTCATATATTTCTCTGCAATGCTTACAAATACCGTTCATTAGAAATATCTGCCCAATGAAAAGTAAATTAGAAGACGGAAGTGGTTGTTTAATGAAAAACATAACATCATACAAACGTAACGCAGTTAAACTGCTATTCAACCGTGACAGTTTACCCAGCAATCCAAATAACGCATATTGTGTATTGTGTTATCACTTTATTTTAGGCGGTTCAAGTGTGTTTGGGGTAAGGTGGGTGTGAATGGGGTATGTTTGTATATTCGAAGTTGACATGATACCGCTTGTTGTTTTTTGCCGATCTTAAAGCGTTTCTGACTTTATAATGAAATGTCCAGTAAAATTCTCAAATTAAAAAAGGTATGTAAATAAAAATCTTCTTTTCAAAATTATTTACCCAAGCATGACTGCTTGTCGTCTGCGGCAAGCACTGAGCCTGCTGGACATGCGCACTGGGCAGTTGCCGTACCAACCTGACAGTAACCGCTACAATTCAGACCCTGGTTCGAGCACACTGTGTCAGCTGTGGAAAGTACAAAAATATCAACATTATACTATGATTAATTTGATTTCTTTTTTATTTTCTAAATAATTGTAATATTTCTGCATTTATCTATTGTAAATATTTTAGGAGAAAAAAAAAGAATTACAAACACCTTTCAGCGATTTATTTAAGTAAAGAACTAAATGACATAAATGTCTGACTTTTGACATGTTTATCCACAGAACGGTTGATAGTTATATCTTTCTATAGAACTGACGTTCCCACTTTCACTAAATAACCCATAATATTCACACAATAATCTATTCACTATGGTGGCATATTTCTGCCACCAGATAACCTGATACCTAACTAGTTAATTAAGAGGTTAACTAGTAAGGTAACTAGTTAACCTAAAACCTAACTAGTTAATTAAGAGGTTAACTAGTTACGCAACTAGTTTACCTCTTAATTAACTAGTTAGTTATATGGTTATCTGGTGGCAGAAATATGCCACCATAATTCACTACTAAGAATAATTTTTTAATAAAAAATCAAAAAATAGAAATATACAAACCCGAAAGTTGTGTGCACTTTTTTTGGTCTGTGTTCAGAGAATATCCAAAATAACAGAGACAACTGTAAGATCCGACGGAATTTTCACATGTTTGCTCGCACCCTGTGTTTCCTATCTCACACTCATTCACGTCTAGAAAAAGTGAAATAAAAGACCTGCATGCATTCTGATAATCAAAATTACGTTTTTTTTAAAACTTCATCATAAATATTTAAATCTTGATCATTTTGTATTGGATCAACATTATTGAAATATTTATGCAGCTTCATGTGCATGTACATAATTGTACATGCGTGTAATAGTTTCAAACTAAGAACAACCTGAAATTAAAGGTATTTGAAGTTATATACTACATCCCCTAGGTTCCGTTGACGGCATACTCTGTAAATATGTATAAGAATAGTGTAGACGTTTTACACAATAATTTGGAATATTATATATTCACACTCACCGACAAATGTCATATTACATATTCATATTCATCGACAAGTGTCAAAGAACACTTTCATACTCACCGACACACGTCATATAACACATTAATTCTCACCAACACAAGTCATATATAACACATTCACTCTCACCAACACATGTCATATAACATATTCATACTCCCCACTACATGTCATATAACATAATCATACTCACCAACACATTTGGTGGCGTCAGTTGAATCTTTCTTGTATCCTTCGTTACATTCACAGAAGAATCCGCCATCTGTGTTCGTACATTTTTGTTGACATGTGTTTAAGTCAGCATTTAGACATTCGTTTACATCTAGAATGAAAATAAATATTTTTTTAACTTGACAATCTTTCATCTATTGGCTAAAGATATTTCTTTTTGAGCCTGTAAATTACATTTATTATTTAATTCAAATCACTTTTGACTTTATCAATTGTTTACACTTCTTCAGGTGATAGTGTAAATATTTTCCATTTAAAGTATTTCACATCTGGTGAAAATAAGTCACAAAAATTGCTAGGAAATTTTAAAATAAACCCCGGAAAGTATATAAACATGTTACCTCTTTACAATTCAAAGGGTCTTTTAAATAGACTTATATTTGAAATACGCTGCTGGACAGTCAGTTTAAGCTTGAGTGAAACTATTACAAATATCCGAAAATATAAGAACATTTATACATATTTGCTATATATTTGACCCATCCCGTCCCGCCCGTCATCTATATGGCACATGAAGTGCTGAATAATAAGCATATAACATACCATCACATTTGTTAGTTGTCGTATTCAACTGATAATGTTGTATACAATCACATCTATAGGAGCCTGGTGTATCCACACAAGTTTTATAATCATCATTACATATGTTAGCCACGAGACATTCGTTAACATTAACAGTGCAGTCCGTTCCTTCCCATCCAGTCTTACAAATACATCCTTAATACAAATACATCAAAAATACAAATACATAAAATATAACAGAGAGCATGTATGAAAAAGTTAAATTTGTTTTTATTTATAGATAATTACAAGTAAACATCAATTTTATCTCTACGTATATAATAATATATAAATTTTGACTTTTTTAGAGGGGAGATAATAAGATTTACTGAATACTATGATCATAAATATTTATTTTTATCCATGTCCCTTAATCATTGTCAGTTATTTCACCTTATTTAAAGAAGTATAAAAAAGTACAGACTTATAATTTACAAAAATAATAAATGGAAATAAACTTTCCTGACTTTATTAAGAATAATATAAATTTAAGATGAAAATGAAATGCCTGCATGCATATTTATATTGAGATATCAAAACTAGTTAGACTGCCGATTTAAGATAACATACTGGTCAAGAGTAAAATGTAAATTTTAAAACATTTATTGTTTAGCGTTCATTGGTTAGGCCATATTGTGAAGTTCGAGCTCTACATGTACCGGTAGAGGATACACAACACGTTCCTAAGTAGAAACACTGCTGGGAAATTTTCTTGTAAGGCAGAAGTAAATGTTAATGTCGGGGCTCGAGCTCAAAGTGATGAGAGACAAATGATCACAACAGCGTTTAAAGGCCTAGCTTTACAAGTGGAAGTGGAACCAGTACATTTCTAGATTTAAAACAAAGCCTCGATTGTTTATTGGCTGAAATTGCGAACCTTCACTTCCGGGGGATATGTGAATACAATATAGAGAGTTGGAAAACCTAATGCTTTGATGATATACCTTTAACATTGTCACATTTTGATGAGCCTAGACTGCTGCATGTACATGACTGACCACAGTTCTCTCCCCAAAATCCGGATGAACATGCTGAAAAATAATTACGGTGCTTAAAATAACAATCTCATCTAACTTTCATATTAGAAAATAATATATTTTATCAATAATAGCCAATTTCATATTATTCTTGCCTCATTTATAAACAAACTTAGTTTTGCAGGATGTACATAACATTCATGATATAATTGCACAGTTATAGAGATGTAAATTAGCATTGTGACATAATTATGCGAACAAAGTTTGCTACATATACTACGGACTTTAATTGACAAGGATCAGAAACACATACTTGTATGATAACTGTATTCAATTAGTAATGATAATCTTACCTGAACACGTGGTTTTATCAGCATTCAGTATAAAACCTGTGTAACATCCACACGTGTAGGACCCTTCCGTATTTTCGCACGTGCCGGAACAAACATTCTGATCGCATTCATTGATATCTCAAATAAGAATATAACAATAATAAGTTACAAGTATGATAATTTTATAATGTAGTAACATTTTAACATACTTTTATATTGTTTTTGCAGTTTAAGATACATATTGTTTGTTCACACAAAACTAAAATAAACCATGATCATAAAGTGTGTAAAAAATGATAAGAATATTCACAATAAAGACCACCCCGCAATTAAGACCACTTTGGTCCAGTCCCGATAGTGGTCTTAATTGAGGGTTTTTACTGTAGTTTATATCACTGTGCTAAAGTTACTACAGTTACACACTGTTATATATAAACACATGTTTCTTTACAAACTATCTTGACATTTTCTTCTTTAATTGTTTATGGTCTTATACTCTAGACGTTTTGAAACAATCCGCAATGAAATCTAGTCACAAAATCATCTGATGCAGACATATTCTTATGATTTGTAAAAATGTTTCTGACTGACTCTTTCAAGAAGAAGTTGCATTTGGACAGACTTTAAAAATATATCGTAATTTACACTGAATCTTATGACACATTGATTTTTTCCCTATAAACTTTAGTCAATCTAAACACTTGCTTTTTTGCTTAATCGTAACGTCGTGAGCTTTAAATCAAAAAAGAACAGTGTCCACATCACGTAACGTGACGTACATTTTTGCTGTTTTTCATATTTAACAAATCTCGTATAGTGACGTAATATGCCGATATGCATGTGTACATGATGGACTTATATCCTCTAATGGAATTTAATTGTATCAAAGACTAAACGTAAAGTATAAATACCTTCACAAGCTTTCCCGTCTTCTCCAAGCTTGTACCCTTTGTTACAGAAACATTTAGTGTCGCCATTTTCCACAAGACATCCACCATTTCCAGTGGAACATCCTGAAGTGGCACATAACGCAGCGTCAGCTGTAATATATAGAAAACGGTTCATAAATTCCCGTCATAGGATGAAGATATATTTTTACAGACAAACGTTTAGAAGATAGAAGATACATTGCTATATGTTAAACTTTATTTAGTATTGTGAATTAAAATACCTAGAACCATTTAGTATCACGAAAACCATAATATATCATGGAAAACTGTTTCAATACGTAAAACCATTCGGTACTGTAGATTACAATACGCAAGACCATTAGGTACTGTCGAATACAATACGTAAGACCATTCGGTACTGTCGAAATAATACGTAAGACCATTAGGTACTGTCGAATACAATACGTAAGACCATTAGGTACTGTCGAATACAATACGTAAGACCATTCGGTACTGTCGAAATAATACGTAAGACCATTAGGTACTGTCGAATACAATACATAAGACCATTAGGTACTGTCGAATACAGTACGCAAGACCATTAGGTACTGTCGAATACAATACGTAAGACCATTCGGCACTGTCGAATACAATACGTAAGACCATTCGGTACTGTCGAATACAATACGTAAGACCATTCGGTATTGTCGAATACAATACGTAAGACCATTAGGTACTATCGAATACAATACGCAAGACCATTCGGCACTGTCGAATACAATACGTAAGACCATTAGGCACTGTCAAATACAATACGTAAGACCATTAGGTACTGTCGAATACAATACGTAAGACCATTCGGTATTGTCGAAATAATACGTAAGACCATTAGGTACTGTCGAATACAATACGTAAGACCATTAAGTACTGTCGAATACAGTACGCAAGACCATTAGGTACTGTCGAATACAATACGTAAGACCATTCGGCACTGTCGAATACAATACGTAAGACCATTCGGTACTGTCGAATACAATACGTAAGACCATTCGGTATTGTCGAATGCAATACGTAAGACCATTAGGTACTGTCGAATACAATACGCAAGACCATTCGGCACTGTCGAATACAATACGTAAGACCATTAGGCACTGTCAAATACAATACGTAAGACCATTAGGTACTGTCGAATACAATACGTAAGACCATTAGGTACTGTCGAATACAATACGTAAGACCATTCGGCACTGTCGAATACAATACGTAAGACCATTTGGCACTGTCGAACAATACGTAAGACCATTCGGTACTGTCGAATACAATACGTAACACCATTAGGTACTGTCGAATACAATACATAAGAGCATTCGGTACTGTCGAATACAATACGTAACACCATTCTGTAATGTGGAATAGAACACATAAGACTATTTAGTATGTGAAATACAATACTTTAAACCACTTTATTTTACAAAATACAATACATCATCCATTTAGTATAGTGGTATACGATATCTAGACTAGTTGCTAGTCTCAAAAATTAAATAGTTACATTTTCAAGAAAATAAGTAACTTCATACGTACAGTAATAACAAATAAATTGAAATTTCACGAGCGATTTTTAAATACCTATAAGCCTCAACAACAATAATAAAACACCACTTAAATTTGATATTTTCAAAAGAAATATTATATGAAGCTTATGATCAAATATATATCTGATAATTTTACTAACATAAAGTGCACGTGTTTGCAGAAGCATCGTAGTTATAACCATCATTACAGCTGCACGTGAAACCTGGGTCTGTGTTTGTACAAATTTGCTCACAATTACTCGTCGCTTCTTCACATTCGTTGATATCTTGATAAAGACATAAAGTTATTATAGTAATAGATTTTATATTCATAATAGGTCTTTCATACAACATTCATTTAAAATAACAACAACAACAACATCAACAAAAACAACAATGATAAAAGTAGTGTATCATTTTTTTCATTTCATGTACAACAGACGTGTAAATGAACAGAAACTTAAAACTAAATTTATTGAAATTAAAACTTAACTCGTAGGATTAACAAACTGCAAAATGATAACAATACGACAACAACCTAACATAACGTTCATGTATTGTTTTTTTTTTTAAATAAAAGGAAATGAGCCGTGTCACGACAAAACCAACATAATGGGTTTGCGACCAGCATGGATCCAGACCAGTCTGCGCATCCGCGCAGGCTGGTCTGGATCCATGCTGGTCGCAAACCCATTATTCTGGTTTTGTCGTGACGCGGCTCAAGTTATATTAAACAAACCAATATCAGTGAAACAGAAGCAAAATAATCGTTTGAACCCAAGTTTTTGATGCTGTCTCCCTTGTCACTGATTTTCTACCAGAATAAACTACCATGAGGAACTTTCTATTTGATCATTTATTCAGTTTTGATCTTTGCGTCACCTCAAAATAACACGACACGTTCTTTCAAAGTGAACATTATGAAATGTTAAATTAAATTTTGAGTTCACATCATAGTCAATGCATGCGTATACATGTATTAGTCACTGACTAATAAAAGGGCTGTTATATGCTAAACTAATGTTAAAAGAAACAAAACAAAACAACAACAAAAAAAAAACAACAACTTATTTCAATACCTATACATGTTGTAGCATCCTTTGCACGTCTGCCCTCATTACATTTACAGACATAACTTCCTATGGTATTCTCACAAATATCACTGCACGGGTTTGAACCACCAGTACATTCATTAATATCTGAATACAAAAAATGAAATGTTTGTAAATAGGCATATAAATATATACATGTATACATACATTAATGCTGATGTAATTCAATCATAAACATTTCAAATGTTTAATATGTTTAATACACGTATGTTATATTTAATAAATATAATAACTATAATAATTAATAATAATATAATATTTCAAGAATTTATCTACTTTAATGAATGTTTTGATAAATGTGAGTGTGTACTAGTAATTCCGTTGATTGCCGTGAGATGAAATAAAATATACATGTATATTACATTCAAGACATTACCTTTATTTTCAGTCGAGGAAAAAATGCTTGACTTAGTTAAAAAATGCATTTAATCATGAAGAAATTTTACTTTATTCAGTTTTCGCCGTTTTTTTTCCAAAGCTCAGCCAACTGCCGTCGCGTATTTAAGGCCATGCTACTACAGGAACTTGAAATTCTATCAAATAACCAATATTAATGATAATATCCAAATATACCCCCTATATACTATGTTTTTTTTATATAATAGTGGAGTATATTTTGCATATTATCGTTAATATTGATAGAATTTCAAGTTCCTGTGATAAACACAACGTTTTATAAAAAATGTATGCGCAATTGCAGCAAACAGTTACGCTAGCAAATTGAAGCAGGATTTTTTTTAGAGTTTTTAACGGTCCAATTGTAAGTTTACGGAATTTTATATTATTTCATTTTCACTATTCTAGCAGCCGAAAGTAAAGCACCTAAACTGACGGCACGGATGAAAAATAAATAACCATAAAGATACCGAGGTAGAAAAATGCGCTTGGAAAAATAACAATATAAGCCACACAGCAATAAACTAAATCGTAAACGGGTTTTTTTTTCAAATATACAAAAGTCGTGAAATACCTATGCAATCTTGGTCACTTGTAGTGTAACCAGTCGGACATGCACCGCACGTGAAAGCATTTCCGGTCGACTCGTGTGTAGCAGCGATAACATCTGTACATTCACGGTCGAGTGAACAAGGGTCGCCTTCGCAACCATTAAGGTCTCTTTCGCAGTCATCTCCTGTAAAAACATCAATAAATAAATAAATTAAATAAATAAATAAATAAATAAATAAATAAATAAATAAATAAATAAATGATTTAATTAATTTAACAAGCACAATTAATTAATTAATTAATTATAATTTTTGTTCTTTACACCAATTAAAGGGCGTCTATTAAAGTTTTTTGACATGACATGCCTGGAAATATTGTTCCGAGATTTTATACCATTCGATGTAAATCAATACTATTTACTTGTGAACAAAATTCCATATCATTCATTCATTTGTTTTTCCAGAATGATCATTTCTATAGCACAAAAAAAGACTTTAAAATGAAAAGATTTTTACACTTTAAGCTTAAATCGGGCTAACAATCGCACTAAATATCGATTTTCAATTAAATTCGTTGAATATTTATGTATTTTTTATAATTTTTAGTACACCAATCGATCCATGTAAGATTTTCAAATTTTATGGGCTTTTTTTGGCTTTTGGACCTCAATTGGGGCTCCTAAAAACACATTCACGTGAAAAATATGATAAAAACAATCGTGACATTTGGATTCTTTACATATTGTTTACTTACCCTCGTGATAGTCATCGCACGTGCATTGAGCTAGGTTGAAACCTCCTGTTGCTGAGATTAAGGTCCTTGTTTTACTGTAATCACATTGTCCATTACCGCTACAGCCCGTGCACAGTATCACATCGAGTACGAGCAATGGTGACTGGACTCCAAAACTATCGGTGGCTACCAAGCTGTTATTATATGAAACATACGCACAAATCAAATACATTCAAAATTGATTATACATACGTACTTAAATGCATTATGGATATATTGGTATGCATATAATTAGTAAAAAACCTGCTCAATTTTTGTAATGAATTTGTCCTGTTTTGAATTGAAACATACTATTCGATGTTGTATCAAAGAGTTTTTATCTAAACATACAAAGATAGTGGTACCGACAGTATAGTGCTTTGTCAATATGCACATCCTGGCTCTTCATTGGTGGTAATGGCAAGATACTTCCGGTTCAAGCACGTTAAGGGTTAAGGGTTATTAAGTGCTTCCGTAGTGTTGTGTGGTAATAAATCGCAATTACTATAATTACTATACGAGTAGTGCCAAGTTTAACCTTTATTATTATTCTTATCATTTTGCACTACGTGTAAAATTTGGTACCGTTTTTTTGTGACTGATAGAAGAAAATATCTTATCAAATCAATTTGACATGATAGAAAATAAACATGCATTTCCATATTTTACCTTATTGTGCTCGGTGTTACGTCTGTGAAAAGTACTTTTACAATCTTCGACTTATCTGTACTACCATCTGATAACGTAGCTACGTTGTCACCGCTGATAAATTTGAAGGTAATATCACCGTCGTCTGCTCCAATTACACCAACATTTACCTCTTTGTCCTTTTCTACTTGTAATCTTCCGGTAGTTGTTACTTCAAGGTTTAGTGAAGGGGCCACATTTTCTAAAATTCACGGAGTACATATAACCATTAATTTTTCCCTAGGCTAGTTTTACGGGGAGAAATTTTTTGTCAAAGAATGCAGATAAAGAAACGTTGAATTTTCGATTTTGACGTTCACTTTTATGCTAAAGTAGCACCTTTTTATGCATAATCACCTGCAAACCCATTAAACTTTTTAAATCTACTGGCTTTAAATCCGTCATAGTGCTTTTGTAGATGTTAATGCATGAAAAAGGTTCACGCTCTCTCTATTAATGAACACTTTATCTATTTACTAGTATCATCATTTTCCCTTTTTTACATTGGATGGAAACGATACCAATAGAATTTAAAAACACAAACAAAAATAGTTCCCTTATCATGTTCACAATATTGTTCAATTCATTGACGAAGATTACATTTATATCTTTATAATAAATGAAATATAATTATGTTAGTTTAAAAGTTCCGGTGGTCAGATCAGCTTACTTATTTCCCTATCTTATTTAATTGGTAAGTAGATCTTAATCAAAGACGCAAAATTAAACTTACCAAGAAGCTTCTGAGTATCTTCTTGCTCCTTACTTACAACTTTCGTGTCTTCTGCTACCGCGTCACTTCCGGTGAAAACTTTATCAAATATACAAGGAATGTTGGCTTCTCCACAGAAGGTCGTAGCCTCAGTAACTAATGCTTGGTCAGCTTCGTCAAGGAAATTAACCGTGGGATTTAAGTTCTGAAAATCTAGAAAACTTCCACCGGGCGGATATTCAAACACTGACTCGTCACTGCTGGTTATCATCCCTGAAATATCCACGTGAAAATCGTGCTTTAGTAACTTGCTTGTTTGAGATATTGTTAAATTCAATCAAGTGTAATTTCATTTTATTTTATTGTTTTAATGTAATAGTATGCGTTGGCATAGTGGATATATGTTTTTTTCAGTGTGACGTGGAAATATATATCTAAATGCAATAGTTTTATGCGCACGGTATTCTTCTATTCAGTTTTAACTACATGTATTTCAGTTCAAATAAATGCCTCCGATTGGGACTTTTGATAAATAATAAATATGAGCCGCGTCACGACAAAACCAACATAATGGGTTTGCGACCAGCATGGATCCAGACCAGCCTGCGCATCCGCGCAGTCTGATCAGGATCCATGCTGTTCGCTATCAGTGTCTCAACTTGTAATATAGTTGGTAAGCAAACAGCATGGATCCTGATCAGACTGGTCGTGAACGCATTACGTTGGTTTTGTCGTGACGCGGCTCATATATCTTAGTTCATTCTGAAGAGATAATATTACTATTCTTCTTAGAAGCAACTAATACCCTTTATATGACAATATATTTCATCATTTACTATATGTATTGCTATTCTGACGCGACAGTTCAAAAACGAATTAATGCAACTTCTCATTTTTCTTCGGTTATTTCATAAAGAAAAATTATTATATGGGCTGTTGACGACATGAAATAGGGTAAATACAGCCTTCTGCAACCATTATCACATTTTGCTTATGTCTCGTGGTTTGGAATATTTCCATATATGTTCCATCAACAATCTATAAAATCAACAAAATAGATTTAATATTAACTGTTTACAATTTTGGTATTTGAAAAATAGTTCAACGAACTTACAAGTTTGTCCGTAGCTAAATATTTCTCTTTCTGTAGCACTGGTAGGTAGAACAGTTCCGTTTGGATAAGTAAAGTCATCGGCAGGGTCACTGTTCGCATTTCCCATAAGTCCCTTCGGTAGACCTTTATAAATTTCTGGAACTGCCACGGAAATTGTGAGCAATTTCTTAAGCTTCACTTCCACAGTGAAGCTAATTCCTGGAACAGATATTTATATAACTAGTAATAGTGACGATACATAACTTGCTACTAGTTTTGGTAATTGTGAAGTCATTATCATTGTTATAGCGTCATATTAATTAAAGCACTTTATGCTTCAGAAATGTACATCTATAGAAAGAACAAACTGTGTGTAACATACTGTAATAATAGATTTACAATATGCGAGATAATTAGCACCTGAAGAAAATGCTGTCAATTATGAAATAAATTCTAATTGAAGAAGCAAAATGTCAACAAAGTGGTACTAAGACTTTCAGACACAGTACTAATTCAATATAACTTTACGAATCACTAAAACACAAAAGAAATAGAAGATATCTTATAAATGTGTCCTAATGAGCAATCCTTTGTTGAAACTGTAACACTAAAAAAATGTTTGCATTAGTATTTTTATGGCTAAATGGGCCTTTAATATGTCATGTAAAGTTTATACACCCGGATGGTGGCTATGATGACACTACCATTGTTTAATTAAGGAGTTAAACAAAATGCTTCCACGGAAAGAAAAATTGTAGACAATACTCTAAAACTGTTTATCATATAATTGTTTCTGACTTATTATTCTAACTTTTTTCTTATTTTCTAACAAACAGTTTTAAATTTATAAGTTTACAAATAAATGTGTTATTCACTAGGTGGAATTAATATATTGTTTCTAAATATATTGTTTCTAAATATATTGTTTCTTATAGAAAAGAGGAACATCTTTGTTAAGAGATAACTTTAAATCCAAGGAATTGAATACAAAAATATTCAACTGCTTACCTAACTTCGGAAAGCTAATCGTTAAAGCACCATTTCGTTTATCCAACGAAACAGCTCCTTCCGACGCCGAAAATGTCGACTCTGTTGCAAATTTAGAGGTGAAGGATTTACCATTCACTCTGATATCCATTCCCGCATCTAGTAATTTACATAAATGCAAGTTAATACACGACCAAAAACATATGACCAATTAAAATACCCATCTTAGTCATTCAGCAATGTTGTCATTATTACTAGTTTATCTAATTCATTTTAGTTCGATTGTATTGGAAACTATAAACCAAGAAGAAACACCCTCGGATCCTTTCTAAGAACAAACCAGTACTTGGCAATGAGAGTAAAGTTTCTTGCTCACGGGCACAACGGCTTGCCCCTGATGGGGTTTCAACCTACGCTTACTATACATTCCAAATTCGAATATTTACGTCGAATGATCGATGGGCTCGAATAATCATAATCCGAATAAATTGATAGACGACAACTAGTCAACATTTACAAATCGCAAATCATGTTAAAGTATGAATAGAAAGAAACGATAAATTACTAATACCTTAAAGTTGATCATCAAGTAATGGAGGGAATAAGTGCATGACATGAAAATGGAATCCTAACTTATGAAAGACGATAAATATCTTTTTCAAAGATATATTCGAGTAGACAATGTAAAACAAATTAAAGTGACCAAATGTCTTTATATCATACCTGTGTTCTTGTTGAGTTCAATATTGCATCGAGATTTGCCGAATTTGTCTTTAGCAGCGAACGCCGTGAAAACAGTGGCACCAACAGATTTTCCATCATCACTAAGGAATGGAGATGTTCTTGCTTGTAAAACAAAGTCTACTCCTTCCTTTTGTACAGACAACATTGTATATTCAGCTTCGCCATTGAATGTGAAGGATTTTCCATCAGGGGTGGTTATATGTGGATCACCGGTTCCACCACCTTGCCAAATAAAAAATAATATAATATAGCTAACTTTTATGACAGACCAGGACAATTGAAGAATTCTAGCTATCTTTTTTATATCATTGAAAAAGTTCATTGAAACTAACGACTATGTATCGTGTTACTTGATATATCTATTGACTGAGTCGTTTTCAATAATTATTTATTAGAAATTTATTGACTATGTCTCCTGTATATTAAATGAAAGTAAAATTTTCATGGAATCATACCGACTAGGACACCAGCTGTTGTCGAGCAGTTAGTGTTTCTCGGGCGCACGACGTGGAAGTCGTTGCATAGCCCGACATTGCAACATTTTGTCCGCATAGCAACCTCTGCATTATAATAATCAGTATTGTCCGACGTTAACGAATTGTATTCTGTTCTAAAGCCAACGTTGTCACCGGAAGATATGAATGCACTTGACTCGTAGGTACATGTCTGAAAAATAGTTAAAATTTAGAATAGCATATTCTTATAGTATTAAGGTCATTAATGACACTAATGACGAAAACAAGAGCACTGCTTAGGCATGGCGATATACGCTCGAATGAAAACTTGTTTGAGGGATCAAAAATATTCTTTCGATTAGGAAAGAGACACGTTCACGAAACAGCATTACAATTTTCCACAAAGGGATGTTCAAAATTTGTTTATACATTTGTCTTCATAAGGCATTTGACCCACAAGGCAGGGAAAATTTGGACCTCAGGAGTCATGGTTAATATAACTTAAATTACAAATTGATACGACATGGCAGATATCTAAGTTCTGGACTTTTTTTGTACAGTATAACAGTATAAGTCGAAATTCTTTCGGGCGTATAAAAAAACAGTTTATAAAATTTAGAAAAGATAATATGTTTAAACACTTATATCAAGACTTTACCGATCCTTGAAAGTTGTAGTCCTCATTTGACTTGATGCTGTATATGTCAATAGTAGCTGATGAATCCGATATTTCCTCAAAAAACCCGGCAGCTGGTATTGTATTTTTATCACAGGGACAAGCAGGAACATTGTTCCAATTTGTGACTAAATTTCCTACTGACTCTGTTTCTTCTTCTATCCATTGCTTACATGTAAAGCAATCCGAAATCGTCGTATCCGAACCAGTGTTTAACGAAAACATCACGAAGCCACTGCGTCCTTTGAAAAATAAAAAAAAATACAAATCAATATATACTATGCTCAAATTTGATTTTTAAAAACATTAATAATTGCTACACAGTCTCTTTGTATGTATAAAATAAACATGTTTCGACTTTATTTAAAGTAGATATGTTATGTTTTGCACTCGACACACTATAGGTGGTCACAATATGAATATATAGTGTCATTAAAAAAACTGGCAGTTTTTTAAAGAAAAGACTAACTTCATTTGACTTGTAATAGAGAATGCAGCTTCCCATACATTGTCTATTCATTATTCTATTCAAATTAAACATATTCAGTAAGAATTTCATGGATTTCAATACATTTCAAAGATGAAAATATTTTACCTAAAGATGAACATAGTATATCTTTAAGGAAAGGATTAATTAGCTTGACAAAGTAGGTTATTTTCTTTATCTTCTATTATATAACACTTTATCACCACCTTAGCATTTTATGATTGACTAAAAAGACACAAGTAAATGTGTTCAAGCGTACTGTAACACGCGCAACATATGATGTTTTACGAAAAAACTCGAGAAAGACGGTCATTGAATAGCCAGACATTGTTGTTCTCATAGCAATCTCTACGTTATAATAAACAGAATGCTGACTTTAACGTATTATATTCTATTCTATAGCCAATTTTGTCGCCGGAAGACAATGTTAATTAATTTGAATGGTAATAGCGGAGGTGGCACAGCAATTTGCAGACGAAAGATTCAAGCAAATACCCCCGACCATACGATTTGTAAACTAACTTTAATAAATGCCGAAAAGGGTGTTAAAGACTAAATCCACCAAACTTCAATGTTCGTTTTTATCTAAGAAAAAGATAACATGACGTAGATTGAGACGATGTTAAATCACACTAGTTCCAAGCAATAAGCATTTAAGCCCATTTCCTTGTGTTCTAATCTATAAATTAGAAATTCAGCATCTGATAAGTTGTCGACAAGAAAACGTGCTAAAATATTCTAGTCTGTAAAACAACTTTATTGTATTAACTTGTTGCATCATTGATAGCCAATCAATTAGAGTTGTCATGCAATTGTGGCGACTGCCCCCTAAAAAGTTTCTTAAGTATTGCAGAAATTAAATTTGAATATAAAAATAGAATAAAAATAACTAATTGCTTAATATTCTTTGTGAAATGAACTTACCACATTGACCTTGGAGATAGGGACAAGGGTTTTGGAGACGACATATCATCATGGTGTAGTATGTAATATATATGCGAAATCTTTCAATCCATGACAAAGTTGTAGTCCGGGTACGAATGTTTACCCTCAAACTCTTATGAGAGCAAGTACCTTTAAACTATTAGAGTGACCTTGACCTTGGAGGTAGGGACATGGGTTTTAGACTCGAGATGCCATCTTGATGTGGCATACATATATGTTACGTGACTTAATACACCTTCCTTGCATGACAAAGTTACAGTCCAGGCAAGGATATGTGTACCTTTAAACTCTGCTTGTGAGAGTGTTTAACCTTAACACTGTAAATGTCACCTTGGTCTTTTGACATAGGGACACGGGTCTTAGACGTGACACATCATCATGATGTGTTTAAATTTGCGCTAAGTTATTGAAGAACCTTTCATGCATGACAAAGAAACAGTCCTGACAAAAATGTGTACCTTGAACCTCTCAGCTTACCTTGACCTTTTAGGTAGTGACATGTCTCTTTAATGCGACATATTGTTTGAATGTGGTAGACATTTGTGCCAAGTTATTTTAAAATCCTTAAGTGCTTGGCCAAGTTAAAGTCCAGACACAAATGTGTAACTTTTTAAACTCTCCTTGTGAAAATGAGTACCTTCAAACTATAAGAGTGACCGTGACCTAAGAGGTAGGGACATGTATATTGGACTCGACACATTGCAAGGATGTGTTAGATATATACGCTAGGTTATATAAAAATCCTTCTATGCATAACAAAATTTCAGGCGGTACACAAATGTGTGTACCCTTAAACTCTCATTGTGAGAATGTGAACTTTCACACTGTACATGTGATCTTGACCTTTGACGTAGAAACATGGGTCTTAGGCCCGACACCTCACCATGTGTGGTAAATATTTGTGCAAAGTTATTTTAATTCCTTTCAATGCATGACCAAGTTACCATCTGGACACAAATGTGTCCCTTCAAACTCTTCTTGTGAGAATGAATACCTTTAAACTATAAGAGTGACCTTGACCTAAGAGGAAGGGACGTGAATCTTGGACGCGACTCTTTGGCTTTGTGTGGTTGGCATTTATACCAAGTTATTTTAAAATCCTTCAATGCATGACAAAGTTACAGTCAGGATACCTTTAAATTCTAATTGTGAGAATGCCAACTAAGTGTGACCTTAACCTTTGAGGTCAGGACATGGTATTTTGACACAACACATTGTCTTGATGTGGTAGACACTTGTGTCAAATTATTTAAAAATCCCTCAATGTATGACAAAGTTAAAGTCAGGACACGAATGTGTGTACTTTAAACTTTTGTTGTGAGAATTCGAACCCTTCAAACTGTAAGTGTGACCTTGACCTTTGAGGTAGGGACATTGTTCCTGGACGCGACACATTGTCTTGATGTGGGAGACATTAAGACATTTGTCTCAAGTTATTTTAAAATCCCTACATGCATGTCAAAGTTGCAGTCGGGGCACGAATGTTGTAAAAGCGGGAACGCACGGACAGACAGACAGATAGAAGGACGGGCGACGCGATTTTAATATACCGCCCTTGGGGGAGGGGAGCATACAAAGATTGATAATCAATATTATATTCTGAAGGCATTAAATTGCACACACTTTCCATCTTCATAAATGGCTAGAAGGTAAGAAAATAGTTATAAGGTAATGAGTAAAAAATATCTTAACGACTTTTTACTGACCTAGATTTGTGTAACTCGCCACTGGTTCATCTACTCGGATTGATAACGATGTGGCTTGGTTAGTAAACGCAAATCCAATTTGGTTTTCATCTGTTGCAAAATTCATTTTTCCGTCAAGGTATGCGAAGAAAGCTAGTGTGTTTTGTTTTCCATCGGAGAGTATTATAAGTTGGAAGCTGGACGTCTGGAAATATATACACATTTCTATACCAATGTAATTAGAATTCTACGGTGGCACAGAGGTGACAATTGTAGTTACTTTAATAATTTTGTTTATTTTCTACAAATAAATATCTTGGATAAATACAGCTGAAGCTGTATCGATTCGCAACACGAATCTAGATGGCTATTTCAATCAATGGTATCAAATCAATGAATATACTAAATACAGACGTGGGATAATTCTACATTAAAACTGCAAACAATTTGCAAAGAAAATTGATGTCAATATTACCTGTAATGTAATGTATGCAGGTAAAGAATTTATTCTAGGAACTTTTTGAATATAAGAATAAGGGATTTTAGCGCTTTTTACAATGTGTCGCTAAAGCAACCACATTTCTCAATAGAAGAAGAAAATATAATAATGTGCATTATCCCTGTCTTCCTCCATCCACGTTTCAAGTTTCATGAAAGTAAAATTTAAATCACATTTTTCAACAAAGAACGACAAGCTGTCTAGAGGGTCTACGGGACAAGCTGTCTCCGGTGTGCAGACAGACTGTCTAGGGGGCGAACTGTCTCCGTAGTGCGGACAGACTGTCTAGGGGGCGAACTGTCTCCGTAGTGCGGACAGACTGTCTAGGGGACAAGCTGTCTCCGGTGTGCAGACAGACTGTCTAGGGGGCGAACTGTCTCCGTAGTGCGGACAGACTGTCTAGGGGCGAACTGTCTCCGTAGTGCGGACAGACTGTCTAGTGAACAAGCTGTCTCCGGTGTGCAGACAGACTGTCCAGGGGGCGAACTGTCTCCGTAGTGCGGACAGACTGTCTAGTAAACAAGCTGTCTCCGTTGTGCAGACAGACTGTCCAGGGAGCGAACTGTCTCCGTAGTGCGGACAGACTGTCTAGTGAACAAGCTGTTTCCGGTGTGCAGACAGACTGTCCAGGGGGCGAACTGTCTCCGTAGTGCGGACAGACTGTCTAGTGAACAAGCTGTCTCCGGTGTGCAGACAGACTGTCCAGGGGGCGAACTGTCTCCGCAGTGCGGACAGACTGTCTAGTGAACAAGCTGTCTCCGGTGTGCAGACAGACTGTCCAGGAGGCGAACTGTCTCCGCAGTGCGGACAGACTGTCTAGTGAACAAGCCTGTCTCCGGTGTGCAGACAGACTGTCTAGGGGGCGAACTGTCTCCGCAGTGCGGACAGACTGTCTAGTGAACAAGCCTGTCTCCGGTGTGCAGACAGACTGTCTAGGGGGCGAACTGTCTCCGCAGTGCGGACAGACTGTCTAGTGAACAAGCTGTCTCCGGTGTGCAGACAGACTGTCTAGGGGGCGAACTGTCTCCGGTGTGCAGACAGACTGTCTAGGGGGCGAACTGTCTCCGTAGTGCGGACAGACTGTCTAGTGAACAAGCTGTCTCCGGTGTGCAGACAGACTGTCTAGGGGGCGAACTGTCTCCGTAGTGCGGACAGACTGTCTAGTGAACAAGCTGTCTTCGGTGTGCAGACAGACTGTCTAGGGGGCGAACTGTCTCCGTAGTGCGGACAGACTGTCTAGGGGGCGAACTGTCTCCGTAGTGCGGACAGACTGTCTAGTGAACAAGCTGTCTCCAAATAGGAGTTTTTCATCATTATATTCAATTAAAATACAATTAAACGAAACTAGTCAATATTTCATACCAAGAAATGCGTAATTATATTAGTTTGGAAAAAATATTCTTACCGCATCGTCTGCCTCATTGTATTCCTTTACATCAGCCCACGTGACCATGAGAAGAAAGTACACATCCATCGACCCATACCCTGCGTCATTAAGAATGGCAGATATCTCGGTATTGACTGTAGTGTCACTTGCTAACTCGGCTTTATTATATAGACGGTACCAAATGCCACCAACTGTTCTGGCATCAATGTTCGAAAAGTAAGGAGCTACTATATCTCTGCTTCTAAATTTGGTTCTTTCTTGATCGGATGATGGAACGGAATTTTTCTTGTATTTGTTATTAAAGGTAACGATACCATTTTCACATATCTGAAAATAAGAAAATAAACAACCGCTTTAAATACGTATAGAGTGAGACAGACAAACCATTTCATTACATTTTGCTTCCGATGTTTTGTGTGGATTTCGAGTTACGCCCCTTGGTAATCTCACGCCATTTGTTTCTACGAATGTCAGAGCAGTAATTTGATCAAGGTTAGCTTACTTATAACTTACTACATCGTTTTTATAAAACATGTAAATCTCTACCTGCGTTAGAATTTTATTGACAAGAATACAAATAAGATTATAATATACGTGAGACACATCTGTTCTGTCTAACCTAAAGTTTTTGATATTGCATTAGATCTAGTTGGTAGATCTTACTATAATGCTAGAAGTGAAGGAAGATTATGATAACAATGTAGGAATGAAGTCATTATTGACTTTAAACGTTGATTTTTTTTATAAATTTATGTGGAGTACAAGAATCCCGGACAATCCCCCTCCCGGACGATTCCCCTTTCATATTATTTTCACAACCCGGACATTTCCCCTTCGTTATTTTAATAGGGTGGACTATTCCCCTCCCGTTAATTTTATAGGACGGACAATTCCCCTCCCGTTATTTATGGAGGCTATTCGTTGCCAAAAATCCAGCCTTGTTGATCTGAGTTGAACAGTTTGTTAATGGAAAAAATACAATTGTATTTCTTTGTATGTAAACTCCAATGTTGCATACTTGGATTGAGTTTGCCGATTTAACATTGTAAACATGCATTTCAACAAAATACATTTTGTTAAACGACAAAACATTAACTGATAGTAGCAATACCAAGTGTTCGAATACTCAAAACAGAAGTTACATTCTTAGCTTTACATTGTCGAACCATCATGATTCAGATCAGCATAATCCAGCTTTACACGTTTTTCAATAGGAGATAAAATAAGCTCCGCCCATTTTCCCGCCCACTAAATCATCGTAAATAAACGTATTTTCCGCTCATTTTCGGTATTTACCGTCGGCGACAAGAAGCGGCGTAGTTTCCGTTTATCATACCTTTTAGGTGTTTAGTTACTAAACATAACTCACTTGCATGATTGCCTACAATCAACATCAGCGGACTTTAAAGGAATATAGGCATAAAAGTTTTAAAACGTTGTAGACACCACATTTCCCGGAAAAAGAAACTTAAAAAACCCCAAAAAAACACCAGGTTACATACTGTCTGACGTTAAATATTTTTCAAGGAAGTGAAAACTATTGAAAAGACTATATTCAACGACAAATAAATTTTACTGATGGTATTCCAAGTTGCATAGGAATGAGTAACATTTACAGTTAAGCTGCTACCTTACCAAGTCAACATCTGATAGAGATTTTGATACGACTAATTATACTAATACAGACCAAATTCTGGCTGTTGTCTTTCCTAGTAGTACTATTATATTAGTAACCTTAATTCTAGCGTATGACTTGACAAGAAAAAAAACTTTTAACAATAGTAAAATTATAACCAAAGTTGTATGTACCCTTTCGTACATAACTTTTTATTTTTACCATATATTTCCCATTTTTCCCATTTTGTTTTTCAGTAAAATTTAAATGAGTCCAAATGTATGTATGTTGATTATCAATTTATGTATACCTTGTTTATTTTATCTCTTAGAAAGCCATCACTTACAAAACTTAATAAATATTCTGTGTAGTATTTCATGTACTTTAAAGTAGTTGTCTGTTTTTGATCATATAGACAGCAAATCTAGGTAACAGCTAATGACAGCATGTACACACATATTTCAGAGGTGCTATTGATTCAGCACAATGCATAAAAAGACCTTAACCTACGCCAGCTTACATATATTTAACAATAAAAGGCTAAATCACATCCTATGACTCAAAATACCTCCCAATGGAGGTAAACAGAGTTGCCATGATACACTGAATATTTATTTCAACATTAAAATGGGACAAATTCACAAGTTTTGGTTATACAACGGAATTATCGATAGTAAACTTTGCATTGTTTCGTGGTTATACACTTGGTCAAAAATATGAGTTTTTCTACAACCCAACATATAGAGGATATTGAATGAGTGTAAGTTCAATACTAAATTTATTGCACGAGTTGAATAAAATTATATTATGCGAGCCTCTGGCGAGCATAATATTATTTTATTCAACGAGTGCAATAAATTGAGTAATGAACTTACAGGAATTTAATATTCTATTTATCACATACCAAAAATAAAGACCGTTTAAAGTGTAATAAGATTCATTTTTCATTGACGCGCCTATAGTATAACGCTAACATTTAGCCCGTCTTTACACTATGTTTGTATAACGCTAATGACGTCACGTCAAAATATATGCACGGCCGTGCAATACCATATTTACGGAGTCGCAAAATCGGCACGGGTGTGTGATAAAGTCCTTTAAAGAAAGAAGGCACAGGCTTATTGTTCAGTTCTCTTTATTCGTGTTGCCAAAAGTGCCTTCCATGTATCGCATTCTAGTACTATTTGCTGAAGGTCAAAAAAAAATATGCTTAAGAGTATTGCTGTGGGTCACAAAACCCTGTCATTGATATCAATGAATAGTGGTGTGTGTCATTATATATGGAAAACATTTCCTTATGTTATTTCACCAACTTTAGTTTTTGCATATTATTATGCTCATTATCAGTATATACGTTGTTACATTTTTACATTATATCTTAACCAATTTTGCATTACTTGAATATCCTGTACTAAAATACGTTTTAACAAAATCAGAGGATGTTCAAAGTCAAGATTGATGTAACAGTTTCTATATAATTTGAAATATTTTTGTACCAGCAAGAGTTACCTCTCTTTATATTCTGCTTTCGTGAAATTGGCTCCGCCTATTAATTTTCGTCTATTTCTGTGATAATTCCATATATGGAAGTTGCAAAATCGTTTACAAATGTTAATCGCGTTAGAATGTAAAAGGAAAGTGTGGTGTTGTAAACCTGAGTGTGTCAAGTTGATGCAGTTACATTCTCAACGTCATGATGCACAGCATTAAACGTATTGTGTACGTTCTATCGTTTACATTTCTACATGTCGCAAATTTGAAATTATACATTTATAAATACAGTTTGCAATTTATCTAAGTTGCATGTTAACAGCTTTCATTTTATCAAATCGAGATAATCAAAATGCTTAATACCAGTGCAGTATGTAACTCTCGGATCGTCAATTAGATTTTTACTAATCTGTTTAGTAGAACCGAAGTATGCATTGTCAAGTTTCAAAGGCTGGATTTTTGGCAACGAATAGCCTCTATAGTTATTTTAGCAGAGCGGACAATTCCCCTCCAGTTTTTTCACAGAGCGGAACGTGACATTATACGGCCCCTAATTATAACCGCCACTCCGTATAAAAAAATCTATAACCATTCTTATTAAAGATGACAGTTTTTACTCTTAACAACAAACTGTCAAAGATCGGAACTTTTAAGAATCATTATTTGCAAAACCAATTATTTACAATTATTTTACCGCTACAGAAATGTATTGATGAAATAAAGATTATTTTAACAAAAAATGCGTTTTGTTTTGTTTATATTAATGTCAATATAGACAAGCAAAATGTATTTAAAGTCGATTAAAAATACCTTTCAAATACAAATATTATAACATATATATGTTCAACAGCCACGGGAGGGAAATTGTCCGCTCTGACAACAGCGGGAGGGGAATTGTCCGCTCTGCTAAAATAACGGGAGGGGAATTGTCCGCCCTGTAAAATTAACGGGAGGGGAAATGTCCGGGTTGTGAAAAAACATTCAAATTTACTGAGAGGGGAATCGTCCGGGAGTGGTCTCGTGATCATGGCGGCAACAAAACGTAAACAAATGATGCTATTATAAAAACGCCAAAAAAGACTATATAGACGATTAGCAAACAGCTTATAGTATCGAGTGAATTGGTAAAATCCCTATATTACTGTAAATGTAAGTGAAATGAGGAAACAAAGAACAGATTCAAAGGGTAAACAAAGTAAACAAAGTAAAAGTGACGATACCCCACCCACCAGTGACAAAACCCCACCCATCAATGCACGTGAGGGGAATTGTCCGGATACCGGAGTACAAATGTGCATACGAGAATCACAAAGGCTTTATTATTAACAATGATGTTAGTAAGTTATCATAGAATAAAAATATCTTTTTATCCAATGTATTTATAAAATGTAAAATAGATAGAAATAGACGCCGACCCAATATCAACTTCGGTAGATTCCTATTTACGGCATCGTTTTCCCGAAATGGAATAACTGATTTGGATTCTTTTCCCGAAATTGATATTAAGTGAATTCATGTTCTCCGACGTGTGAATTTAATCTAGATATCAAATAAAACATTAACAAGTCGTATAATATGTGTAGTAATGTGTAGTAGTGTTGAGTGAATCATGCGACCGAAAGTGTACATAAGAGTTTTGTTATGTGTAGTATAAATTAGGTTGCAACCGCTGGTAGGTTTGATGTTTGTTAGTTTCATTTTACGCCTTTTTCCAACATTATTTCAGTCATATAGGCGGGTAGTTTCCTAACCATCGTTCCTGGAGAGTTACACCAGTACTAGACTACCTTCCTCTGTGCTAAACTACCAAAGCATCTCCCGGGGATCGAACCCACACCAGAGAGGTAACTGGATTAGAAGTCATCGACTCTAACCACTCGACCACGGAGGCGGTCTTGGTATGTTTGATAAATAAAAACATAAATTGTTATGTCCGATGGCTGTCTGAATAGAGACTATAGAATGATAATAAGCGGTCATGTCAATTTAATGTTTTGATATGTGCTGCATATTTCTTCATTAATAAAGACGAACACACTAGATATCTTTAAAATACCCATCGCCATGGAAACATGGTCGACGGTTTGCAGAGGACATTCATATAATTTCAAAAGCTATTCCGATAAAAAGTTAACAAAAATTGCATTTTTAACGCGAACGCATTTTTATTAACGTGACGTTATGATACCATTCCTTGACATTTGGTTTCAAATACGGAGCAAAATAGTGTAATGTACTTCGATCGGAGGAAAAAAGCGTTATTATAACGGTGTTTTCTGATATATATGATCCTCGTTTGTTTATTTTATCATTCAGATAACTAACGTTCTTTGTAATTAAATTGGAACATACATGCTTTCAACATATCCCGACATTATGTGTGTGCTTTATAAGATTAAATCTTGTACAAATTGCTAAGGTGTTCTCTGGTCTGAGCCACTACATTAGCGGTTATTCTCAAATTCATTCTATTTGTAGTCATTGCATAGCTTCATTTCAGGCGCGTCCGTCAATGTACGGATGACCGAAAGTTGCACAGCCGAATTACGTAGATCGTGTAACAGCAGTTCTTTCAGAAGACAAATGTCGCTATGTAAGGGTAATAAGTGACACTCTTGATTTAAAACGGACCTTGGTACATGAAATAATAACAAAGGAACTTAACATGTCTAAAGTGTGCTCAAAATGGGTACCACGACACTGTGAAATGGCATAGCGGGGATCTTTACGAATATATGGCACTGAGGGCATTTTAGGGTGTTTCCACCTCATATTACTACCAAGGATGACACTTGGGTTCATCTTTATGAGTCAGAATCAAAACGAACTCCTTGGTTCGGAAACTCCCAAGCACCGATGAAAGCTAAACAAATTAAATCTGCAAAGACGTTAATTTCATCTTCTTTATATATTCCAAAGAGATGCTGTTCCAGCACGCTGTGCCTAGCGATCCGACAGTAAACGCTGTTTATTTTAATAAGTTTTCAAAAGATCTAATACATCCTGCTATCCTATAGCGTACAAATAACAGTACTTCTAATGAATGAAATGGAAAACTGGCATTTTGATATAATTTAGTACATGTACTTACATAAAATTTGTCTCTGTATACGTCATCAACTTTAACTGGACATTCGAAGTCATTGATCATTTCACACCAATCTTTTTTGTTCGGATAGGTAATCTGTGTTTGGCCTGTACCGGCACCATATGCTAGCGGTAATGTTGCTATTTCTGTACAGGGAATACAATACAGATTTTCATTTTTAAATAGTTAACAATTATATTGTATACACGAGTATATTTAAATTTAAATGTTATTATACATTGCTGAGTGAGATACTTATTTCGATTTGAAGTGTACCCAGCTGACAATCATTTATTGGATGAGTTGCTAGCTGAGTCTAATAAAAACAATGCAGCTGTGTACTCATCCACTAGTTATAAGAACAGACTGCATTCAATATTACATAATTATATTCATCTCACAGGGTTAGAAAAATATGCAGCCTGACCGGGACTTGAACCCGGGACCCTTGGAATACCGTTTCGCGTCTTTACAGACTGGGCTATTTGTCCCCTTAATAGTGAACAGTTTTGAGCCGTGTCATGCTTCCCCGCAATATTGAAATTCGTTTTCGAATTTTACAATGCTTCAGAGCAATGTTAATTAAATTTTGAGCTATATGCAGTTACGGTCCAATGATGGGCGCAAAATGTCACGGGATGAGAAAATGTGCAGCCTGGCCGGGACTTGAACATGAGACCCTTGGAATACCGTCCGCGGCTCTACCAACTAAGCTATTTGGTCGCTTACACATTTTTCCCCTAAATAGTAAACAGTTTTGAACCGTAACATACAATATTAATAATGCCCTCTTAATTTACAATTTTAACATTCTGACGGACGATTGGAAATTTCAAGTGTGATATGGATTTGATATGGAAGTTTTTGACTCGAAAAATGAAGACGAGACAAGATGGAGTACAATTAATATGTATTTGATATGGAATATTTATACTCGGAAAATTAAAGCAAGGCTAAATTTAGTTGGTTAGAATAACCATTCCCGTAGGAAGATCGCATTATGCAATCGCTGGAAGTCTATTGGTTGCATTTCATACGGTGTGAAATAATAGTAAAATATAAAAAATAATAATATTTAAAAATATCTATCCATTTTACATCACAATAATGTGGTCAAAACGAATATGAAAAAACCTTAATTGGAATTAATTGTAAACTATCCTCGTTGTGGATGAATGTAGCTTTAAAGAAGGTTATCAATACAATTATATAAAACATTTATAGGAAACAGTTAAGCATTCATAAAATGCTGATGTCGACCACTGATGTATACATGAAAACACGAACATGATGATTTCGTGGTAGCTTACAAAAACAGTTACATTGTTTAATAACGGACTTATTTTAGATTGTCTTACTTGTTTGGCAATAATCTCCCTGAAATCCTGTGGTACATGTACAGATAATTTTGTTGTCTGTTACGGTACATTGTCCATCATTCTGACAAGGTGTATTCGAACAGGCAGCTGAAAAATATAAACACTGTCTATACATTTCTGTCGTTATTTCCAGTTGGATTAAAGTTTCAAAAATCAAAAGAAAAGTAAACTGACAGAATCATTATTGCACTAATAATGAATTGAGGGAGCTGTCTAACAAGGATTGAATAAAACCCGCACGATAGTTACAAGGGAGAAAGGGAGACAGACAGACAGACAGACAGAGAGAAAACTTGTCTTTTATTACGATTTATATTAAGATACCTGTTTGGCAAAAGGCTCCGGCATATCCAGGTAGGCAAGAACAAACATGTTGATTATTGTCGACGGTACAAGCCGCACCATTTTGACATGGACCATTGGTACACGTAGCTGGAAATATTTAAAAAAAATGTATCATTCTTTTCTACGATGATTTTATTTGCAACATATAAACGCTCTAAACTTGTTACGGTAATCAATGTAAAGTGATTCTTGATAACCACGTGCGCATTGCATTTAAACGGTTTCACACTTTTATGTTATAAACTATTATACACGTATGCTTCATTGGTATCACTAACATAAATATACTATGCATACTCTTTCAATGACTATCTTGTAATAAAACGTTATCATTATATCTCCATCTTTATGTTCCAAATTTCGATGTAGTCACAACATTAAATAATATGCATGGCCTGCATTTGAGGTCAAAATTATTTTTGACATAGATCTGTGTGTCGTGTCTTTTTAAAAAAAGTGTGTCCGTACGAATCCGACAAAATCGAACAGATGAGTTCTATAGGGAAGAAATGTTTCTAGGCAGGTGTGTGTCAAGTGATGCCACTTGAGAGAAAGAAAGAAAAAAAGACATTCAAGGTAAGGAGTTATACAATGTACCAGGCACATTTATAGATCCTATAACTCATTTTTTATGGTTTTATATCATATATATTATGCTCAAATGCAGATATATCAGTATTAAAAGTTCCAAAAAGCATTATTTGTAAAGATACATAATTGTATTACAGAATTTACATTTAATGTTTATACATGTAATTGGGTTAATTAGAAATTTATTTTCTATAATGTCTTAGTCACAATTCTTCATAAGAAATAAATGAATATATTTTAATTATTACATATAATGTGGACACATATTTGCAGTATATATTTTACATATTCTTCGTAAATTGTTTTAGAAGCATAATTATATATATAATATATACAATTTCATTTTCGTGTGGTATTAACCTTAAACAGCATACATGATCATTTAATGTCTTTTAGTATGTTGCGTTATTTTACCATAATTCACTGCGTTGACGTAACTTATATGTCACACACCACTAAATCACGTTTTCATCGAGCTATGGAGCCTCTTTGAAACGCTTGCAAAATGCCAGTCGTTCTAAGAGTATACTTTCATCAAAATATTATCCTGTGTTTTATGATTTTTTTTCATAGTTTTGTCTTCTTTACTGTGTCAAGTATTTAATTAGTCGAGATTTGCTGTCTCCTGTCACATCTCTTGTTTGTTTAACGTTCATAAAACTAAAATGTGACATGAAAATAACAAACTTGGTTTCCAGAAAACTACACAAAACAAATGGTCGTATACATGGTATATATTACCTGTACATGTAAAACCATTAGCATCAAGTTCGTATCCAGCGTTACACGAACAAGTAAATGATCCTGCAGTGTTCGTGCAAACGCCATTTGTATCGTCACAGTTGTCAGTATTTGCAGTGCATTCATCTATATCTGAAAACAGCAATAATTGTACAAAATTGATCTTCGTCCCAGAAACGTCAAATGGAAACTTCTTAAACTTGTTTGGCTTGCTTTGCTTCGTAAGGTTTGTGATTATAACATTCAAACCTATCTTCGTACCAAAGAAGGTGTGTTTGATATGAAATATCCTTTTGAAACATACATTCATTTAAAATGTCCATATAATCTTTTTAATAACTTACCTCAAAGCTATTATTGGAATTATATAATTATGCAATTTTTCTAAGGTTTAAAAATAAAGGATATTTTGCATGGTAATTTCTTCATGTATCTCGCGGAGGAAATATTATTTTCGTTAAATTACCTGTACATGTAAAACCATCAGCATCAAGTTCGTATCCAGTGTTACACGAACAAGTAAATGATCCTACAGTATTCGTGCATCCGCCATTTGTATCGTCACAGTTGTCAGTATTTGCAGTGCATTCGTCTATATCTGAAAAAGCAAATTAATTTTAATTTGATTTTTACATAAGAAACCTTCATATAAAAGATGAATACATGAGTGTTAATCATCGCATACACGATTTTTTTAGATTGCCATATTGATTATCAATCATATGACTTAATTAAACTGCAATTTATTTCCTTCGCATGTTTCAATGAATATTTGTTTTTAAGAATAATAATCCAGGAAGTTTGCAGAAGCACAAATGATGATTATGTGTTTAGAAGTAAGTTAAAATCTTTTCTATTGCATACATTATGTCTTGAGTTGAGATATAAAACCCTTAAGGTAGATACAGTAGGGGAACGTTTCGGTTGTCTAAAATAGCGTTTTACGCCTGTGCATTTTTCATAAAATGTGCGTGCATGCGTGCGTATATCGTGCAAAGTGCGTTTGATAAAAGCGTTTCCCACGTGTGCATCGTTTCGAAGCGTATATCGTTTATCGTTTTTTTAGTTAATGGTGCGTTCGGAAGCTTGCGTTTGCTATCCTCAGAAACATTTAACGTTCGTTTGCATTCGTCAAAACGTTTAAGATCCGTTTTTTGCCTGCTATTTGAGAAGATTAAACGAATATCTTAAATAGATCTAGATCTTTTTGTATATTTCACGGGTTCCTTAAAGATATGAAATATGTTTACTGTCTCTTACGAAGATTAAAAGAATAATGCTGTGATTTCAGCATTCTATATTTACACCTCAGGATGAATACCGGATTTCGGCTCGCTAAATATTCACGACATAGATTAGACATTTAATACTATTTTACATATTATGCTAATGATTTAACTACTCTTAAATTGCAAAATATTTGATATTCAATTAAGCAAACATGTGAATATATGCGTATTAATCTATCCGATATCAAGATATATTATATAGTCATTATTTTTGCCGAAAGTTCCTTCCCATTCTAATTAACATATTGATATGTCACAGCCTGACAGGGATTAGAACCCAAAAACCTCGTTCTCAAATCTCTCAGGGTAAGAAAAATGTGCAACGTGGTCCTGACGCGATTCTATAACCCCCAGAATTCTGTAATGCAGCTCTACCAAATGAGCTATACTGCCGCTTACACATTATCGACCCTAAATAGCAAAAGTTCTTGACCATAACGTATTTCCCCGCTATATTGATTTTCTTCCTCACTTCTCAGGGTGAGAAAATGTGCAGCTTGACCGTGACTCGAACCCGTAACCCTAAGAAAACTGTACCGCAATTCTATGAACTGAGCTATCGCTATCCGACCGCTTACACATTATCTCCCCTAAATTCTGAACAGTTCTAAACCATAACATATTTTCTCGCTATATTGACATTCTTCCCCGAATTTCTCAAGGAGAGAAAATTGTGCAGCCTTAACGTGGCTTGAATCCGTAACCCTCAGAAAATTAACTGGTGTAATCCCCAGCAGTACTTCAGTGCTACTGACCGTTCCAATGCGGAGCCCCTCTGTGTTCCTCATTTGTATGTCTATGTTATTTCATACTGTTTTGGTGACACTTTTGTTTGTGTCCCTTGTTTTTCCCGTCTACGGTAAGAATCTTCCCCGTTGTCCCTAGTTTTTTTTTTTTATTTAATTTGACCCTCACTTCCCCGGGTCTGATGTCCCCTTCCCCTGTGCCCTTTGACTTTGTGGGCCTATTATTCAATCATTTATTTGTTTCTTTTGAATTCCTGATCAGTTACAAATTATTTATCATTTTAGTGATTAGCCTGTACGTGCTCTGCCTTTTGCATTGTCCTATTCTTGTTTTGGGTCCGCCTGAGCTCCTTGACACTAGTTCTTGTTGCTGGGTCGTGTGGGGGTTGAGTTTATTGAACGCCACCTTTCCCTGTTGATCTTTATCATCATGTTTTAATAAATATTTCCAGGTTATTATATGCTGGACTTCATTATCAAATGATTATATATTAAATAGAGAAAATAAAAATCCCTAAAGAAAACCCAACACGACAATGTTGCGGGCTCAATTGATTGAGCCGGTACTGTCAAGTGTCGTCCACACCCCTAGCACCGGCTTAAGCAGAATTCAAAATTTAAACATGAAATTTTTGGATTTAAGTCAATATTCTTAAATATTTGATAATGGTCTATATATGTGCAGATACTTTATTTACAAGGTATATCATAGAAAGGGGCTGACCGTGATACAGGGTTGGTCGTACCAAGAAAGAGGCTGACAAAAGACCGAGACAGGATGCACTGTATTTTTGGACAGGGCAGATAGTGATGTTCAGATCCCTTTTCCGTAAAAAAGTGTTCCCTGTCCCTGCACTCAAGGTCTCGGTCTTCTTACTACTTTTGTTTATTTGGAGTTGAGGTCATGGGAACATAATTGGCATGTTGTATAGAATGACAAAAAGATACTGATAAACTGAATGATGAAAATAAATCAGTTTTTTATAGTTTCAGTCACAGATATTTAGGGAAGATGTGAAAGCGGAAGGATAGCTGAGTCGGTAGTGTGAGCTGCGGAAAGGTATTCTATGGGTCCCTGGCTTAAGTCCCGGTAGGTCTCACCCTTTGACATTTGACTCCCAAGATATAGTAAATTAACAATGTGAAATTGACACCATTACCTATTCAACAGGGGACTTTGATGATATAAAGCTCCAAGCCCTGGAAGATGATGTGTTACAGCCTGAAAGGCCAGTCGGTTGAGCAATGGAATTTCATTCAGAGAGTCCCGGGTTCAAGTCCAGGTAAGACTGCATTTTGTTTTTTACTTGACAGTGATATGAAAAGGAAGGCATTTGGCATTCGATGTTGCTTAGTTATAATATAGCATATTAATACATATTATGTCGATAAATTTCATTTAAGTGATATGAAAAACATTTTCTGATGCTCTCTTTTGGTGAATAAATTACAGTTTACAAATTCACAAATTTTTGGAGTCCCACACTCCTCCCCACCTTTGCACAAATGGAGATCTGGAGGATGACAAATCTCCTTATTTTTTCTCATTTATAGTTTGGGAACCAAAATACAAGTTTATTCTTAATATTATAGTCTTATTCATTAAATTAATAATAAAGTTCTGTGGACACATCACCGATTTAGATCTAATTGTTACCTAGTACCACAAAGTCAATGTTTAAAAATGTGTTTGGACTGCCGGTCTGCAATGTTCGTTTTTCTTTTGTGTAAAAGTGACACATTAATTTCTTTCGCTGCTATATAAATGACTTGATGATTTGATCGTTGATTTGCTAAAGTTTCTAACATTTGTTTTATCTTTGTTTACGCCGGTAGCGGTGCCGATGTAGATTCTAATAAACGTCAAATTCCTGTGCTAACGTATTTTTTTCTCCATTTTTTAGATGACCTTTCATGAACTAATATCAAAGCACTAGGTCTTGTGGTTTGTTAGAAGAAGATTTTTAAAGATTTTTGTAGATAACTCTAAATAAAACTTCTAATAAAACTTTTTAATTCACGGAAATAATTTGAACAATCTTCACAAAGGACCTCTAGATGATGTTATATACCAAATATCAAAGCTCTCAAAGTAAAATTGATGACTCCCTGTAGGGGCCGCTTTTGACCCTAGGGGCATAATTTGATCAATCGTTGTAAAGGTCCACTACATGATGCTACATACCACCAATAAAAATCATAGTCCTTGTAAATTTTGACGAGCAGATTTTTAAGATTTTCAAATATAACTAAATATAAAACCGATAAGGCCCCTGGCTGGGTCCCCTTTTAACCATATAGGTATAATTTGAACAATCATTTTAGAGGACCACTAGATAACATACCAAATATTAAGGCTCTGTGCCATGTCGATTTTGGCAAGAACATTTTTCAAGATCAACATTACTTTTAAAAAATCGAAAAGCCCCATGGCAGGCCGCCCCTTTTCATCCCTAAGGCATACTTTTAACAATCTTGGAAAAATACCCGCAGATCATGTTATATACCAAATATAAACAAGAACGTGTTTGTTAAACACAAATGCCCCCGGCTCCGATTCTTGTCAGTAGCAATACTTCAAAAAATGTTTACCCATTCACTCAGTTATGGACAGAAACATTGCCAAAAATTGTAAACACAAGTTATATAGCTTGACAGAGTCATGGCATTTTGTAATTGTGAAATATGTAAGTTGCCAAGTCATTGCTATGACTTGTGAAGTGATAAATATTCAACTTTATCAAATATATATAAATGTAAGAAATCTATACTTGGCACCCTTGACCCACTGACACTTAAGGAATATCATGCAATTTATCTTCCTACCAAATATGAAATACACCTGTCAATAAATAAAGGCTGTATGAGCAAAAATGTTAAAATCTATTTTGAGCATTGATGACCTTGATCAAACTGACCCCTAACTCCATCCAAAGGAAGAATACCATGCAAGTTATCTTCCAACAAATATGAAATAAATCTTTCAATAAATAAAGGCTGTATGGGCAAAATGTAAAAATCTATTTTTAGCACTTGTGACCCAGCTGACCCCTAATTCCATCCAAAGTAAGAATAACATGCAAGTTATCTTCCTACTGGTGACCTTGACACACTGATCCCTAACTCAATCAAAAGGAAGAATACCATGCAAGTTATCTTCCTATCAATTATGAAATACACCTGTCAATAAATAAAGCCTGTGTGGGCAAAAGTGTAAAAATCTATTTCTAGCACAAGTGACCTTGACCCACTGATCCCTACCTCAATCAAAAGGATGGGTACCATGCAAGTTATCTTCCTACCAAATATGAAATATATCAGTCAATGAATAAAGGCTGTATGAGCAAAAGTGTAAAAATCAATTTTTAGCACAAGTTACCATGACCCAACTGACCACTAACTCCATCAAATGTAATGATCAATTATAAAAGACATCTGTCTATAGAATATGGTTAATACACCTGTAAAAATCTATTTTTAACATTGATGACCTTGACATTGGTGACATTGACCTTGACCCAAATGACCCCTTACTACACACAAGGAGGACCTCCCTTGGCATGTTGTATTAAACATGAAAGACATCAACCAAAAAATAAAGGCTGTATGAGCAAAAATGTTTACATTTATTTTCTAAACCAGTGACCTTGACCTTGACCCTAGAGACCACTTACACCACAAAAAATAAGAGGACCATTAAAGGTATTCAACCTACCAAATATGCAAGATATCATTAAATAAATTAAGCAATTAAGAGAAATTTAGGATAAATCCAACTTGCCGGAATAGGTTAACCAGACAAGGCCCTTTTTTCAAAGTGAAAAAAGGGAAATAACTGGAAATACGGATGACACAGTTATATAACTTGGCAATATCATGTACTTTGTATTGATAAGTAAGTGTGGAAATTATGAAGCCACTAGTATAGATAGAACTTAAGATATTTACAACTTGCCGTTTTAGGTTAACCATTATTCATTTTCTAAGTGCTGAAAAGGGCAATAACTAGGAAATATGTAAGTCATAGTTATGTAACTTGACCAGATCATGTATTGATTAGTAAGTGTGTAAACTAAGAAGCCATTGGTACAGGTAGAACTTAAGAAAAATCCAACTTGCCGTTCTAGGTTAACCTCGTACGGACAGACAGACAGACGGACGGACGGACGGACGGTTCAATTACTATATGCCCGGGGGCATAAAAAACATGCCTGCCAAGTTTCATTAAATTTGGCCAAGCGGTGTTGAGAGACAAGTCATTTGAATGAAAAATTAACGCATGGACGGATGGCAGACAACACGGTGTCACAAAAGCTCACCTTGTCCTTTGTGACAAGTGAGCTAAAAAGACCAGCGCTTGTGCATTACCTGTACATGTAAAACCATCAGCTTCCAGTTCGTATCCAGCGTTACACGAACAAGTAAATGATCCCGCAGTGTTCGTGCATACGCCATTTGTATCGTCACAGTTGTCAGTATTTGCAGTGCATTCGTCCAAATCTAAATTAGCACATAATTGTTAATTAGGCTGATATTCTGATGTGAAAGCTACATATAATATATCAATACATCATCGTAATTTCATCACCTACATGACTTTTCTTATTGTCGTTTTGATAATTATTCCTATGATACTTTGCTATTGTAGAGTTATTTTTAAATTTATTTATCTAAACTGTTCATGTCACAATGAATAGTAGTTTTTAAAAGTCATAATATTGGAAGTTTGTGGACGAAGAGATTTTGATGATTTATTAAGAGGTTCGTTAGAATCCTTCATTTTTCTACCAAGAAAATAGATATCAAACATTTTTCTTAAGAGTTATCATAGATGATGTTGGGAGAATCTGACATTGTTATTGCTCAACAATTATTTTAAAAAAGAATTCATCTTCGTGTATTACCTGTACATGTAAAACCATCAGCATCAAGTTCGTATCCAGTGTTACACGAACAAGTAAATGATCCTGCAGTGTTTGTGCATACGCCATTTGTATCGTCACAGTTGTCAGTGTTTGCAGTACATTCATCTTTATCTGAAGACAGAAAATAATTGTTAGTTCGACCATCGCTTGAAAAACCTACTATTCAAGCTTTTCATATCACAATAATTAATCGCCTTCATAAGTCATAGAACTGGTATTGAAAGTTTGTCGAAAAAGAAATTTTGACAATGTATTAAGACGTTCGTTAGAATCTTTTATATTACTTCCATGATAGTGGATGTCAAACAATTTGCTTTAAGCTCATCAGATAATGTTGAAAAAAACCTAGCATTTTCATGGCTTAAGGCGACAACAGACACTTTCCGTGGTACTCACCCAAAGTTCATTAAAACCAACTTATTATAGTAATAATTGTTATTTATTTAATATTTGTGCATTAAATGTCGTTGATTATCATAAAAAAATAACATATTTGAAAAAAATGCCTTTGAAAATGATTGATTTTGAATAAAAATCCTAAAATTTTAAATCGTCATATCAAAGTCATTTTTTTTATTTTTTTGTCATCAAACTTTTGGAATATAAATATACTTATAATATCTGGGGAACCGTGTCTCAAATTTTTTCTATCTTTCCTCAAAAAAATATTATGTAACGTCAAACATTTTATGCGACTTTTTTCACCATACATATTACGTAATTAAAGATAATTTAGTCGCTGATTGAGCAAACAAAAATCTCTGACACGGTTCCCTCCGTAACTGAACTCCCTTTCATGTGCTTTAAACCGCATGTTAATTGCTTGATTATTAAAAAAGTTATGCCGATTCAAAGTAAGTCCGACCCGCATCAAATGAAGTGTCATAAAATGGCTGTTCTCTCTCGGACCCCTACATTTCACGCATATTAATTACATAACATACAAATATCGCACCAGAGAGGGTCATAAGTTGCGGTTACATGCTCTAACAACATTTTGTGGCCCAGTGATATCTAACCAATTAAAAAAGCTGCTGATTAATATCAGTTTATAGCAGGAATTTCTTTAAATCTTAACGTGATTTTATCTGTCGCACATGTCACGTGACTATCGGTAACATTTGAGGCACTCAGTGGGGGAAATGGAACGCATTTGCGCACCGCTAGCGGGGTATTCAATTGTTTCACTTTAGAAGTTTATTATTATTATCAGAAGCATCATTATTATATCATACCAGTATACACTCCTCTACCTGTGTATTCGTGTATGAAATTCCGTTAATATATAAATTAAAATAACAAAAAACTGAGCTTCTGACAGTCGTTTAAAGTCCGTGGTAGATGTACAAATAAGAACGGGATATTATATATTTTTTCCACCAAATTGATATAAATGCTTCACATATTTTAATAGAAATAAAAAGTATCACTCGATCATTATGATCTGACCTTCTATTATCATGAATATCATCTATGCACGGCATAGAGATCCAGTTTCTACTGGTGGTCGTGCAATTTGCCGCTATGCTTAACTATTTATGTTACATACATTATGTTACGTACAGTGGACGACAATTTCTTAATTTATAAAAAAAATGCTAAATAAAAGGTACACGATATAATGTTGAGATATTTATAAAAGGTGTACAGTATTTGTACGATACATGTATTACGAATTTACGAGTAGTATCGAGCGGTAAGTCATAGAGATATGGAACTACTGATTTCCCTCATCGATGCTTCAACAGGGGGCGGAGCGTTATCGATAATTGACAGGTTACGCGAATAGCAGATAAAAATGGTATGGGTACCGATTTAAAACGTTTAAAAACACATTTTTTGTTTTTGAACTAACTGCTTCCAAAATTAAATCACGAATGTGTTCAGAAAAGGTTAATAAATCTACTAGGCAAAAAATCTCATTTTAGGTATTTTCAGTGATAATTGACTCCGTTGTCACCTTAACATAATCTTTAGATAAAAGACTCATGCCCTTGAATTACCTGTACATGTAAAACCATCAGCATCAAGTTCGTATCCAGTTTTACACGAACAAGTAAATGATCCTGCAGTGTTTGTGCAAACGCCATTTGTATCATCACAGTTGTCAGTATTTGCAGTGCATTCGTCTATATCTGAAAACAGCAAATAATTGTTATTAGGTTGCTATTCTGATGTGAAACCTAGATATGAGATATCAATACATGAGCGTTTTTGCTTAATCTACATATTTTTTTTTGATTGTCGTATTAATGATGATTTTTATAACACTTTGCAATTGTAGTAATTCCAAAATTTAGTTCCCAACCTTTTCATGTCACAATAAATGTCATAGTACTGGAAGTTTGTCCATAAACCTATTTTTATTATGTATTAAGAAGTTCTTTAAAAATGTTTGATTTTGCTTCCCTGAAAATGGATATCAAACATTTTTATTTCCGCTTATCAGTAAATTTTTAAAAAAATTTGGCTTTTTAACTTTTTCAACACCCAATTTTGGAAACGTTTTCATGTCGTGTTTTTACCTGTACATTTTAAAACCCATCGGCACCCAAGGGTTTCGTACCCAAAGGCGTTAAAAGGGAAAAAGAAAATGACCCTGCAGTTTTTCGTAAAAAACGCCTTTCGTTTTTCGTCAAAAGTTGCAGTTTTCCCTTTTAGTGCTTTCGTTTTAATTTTGAAAACACCCAATTTTTGTTATTTAGGTTGCTATTCTGTTGTAAAAACCTTTACATATGAAATATAAATTTACAGGGCGGTTTAAATTGCATCACCACTTTTAATTTCTCCGGGTTTTCGTTTTGATTAATTTTAAACGCCACTTTGAAAATTTCCCAGAAATTTTTCTGAAAATTTTTTTTCCCCAAGCTTTACATTTTCCAATAAATTTAATGGTTTTAAAATTTCAAAAGTACTGGAAGTTTGTCGAAGAACTTTTTTTAAATGATTTATTTGGCATTTTCGTTAAAATCTTTCATTTTACTGCCGTTAAAATGGATATCAAACAGTTTTCGTTAGACTTATCAGATAATGTTTACAAAACCTGGCTTTTAAATTGTTCAACATAACATTTAGATAAAAGACTCATGCTCTTATATTACCTGTGCATGTAAAACCATCAGCATCAAGTTCGTACCCAGAGTCACACGAACAAGTAAATGATCCTGCTGTGTTCGTGCAAACGCCATTTGTATCGCCACAGTTGTCAGTATTTGCAGTGCATTCGTCTTTATCTGAAAACAGCAAATAATTCTTTATGAGGTTGATAATCTAATGTCAAAGCTACATACGAAAAATCAATAGATGAGCGTTATTGCAACACCTGCATGACTTATCTGATAGTCGTATTAATAATGTTTTTTATGACACTTTGCAATTGTAATAATTCTGAAATTAAGTAACCAAGATTTTCATGCCACAATGAAGAATCATTTTCAAAATCCAAAAGTAGTGGAAGTTTGTTGACGAAACGAGTTTGATGATGTATTAAAGAGTTCTTAAGAATATTTCCTTTTACTTCCATGAAAATTGATATCAAACATTTTGTTTACGCTCATCAGTAAATGTTGAGAAAACCTGGCATTTTATTCGCTCAACATTACTTTTAGGAAACGATTCATGCTCGTGTATTACCCACGCCCTGCAAACTGTCGCTCCACTTCAAAATTGTGGGGTTTGTAGGGAAAAAACCCGAGCGAAGGGATTTCCGAGAAAAGGGGGGAAAGGGCCCCCTTTTTTAAAACGGGCAAATTTGTAAGTATTTTTTTATGTTTTTTTCTTTTTTTTCAATTTTAATTGTATTTTTGGGAAAAAAACAAAAAAAATTTTAGTTCCTTTGTACGATTGTTTTTTGGGCTTAAATTTAATTCAAATCTGTTAAAAAAACAAAAATTATATTAACCCCGGGAGAACTTTCCCCCGGACGAAGCGAAGGGACGATTTGTAGAATTTTGGGAATTTCCCCAAACCATAAAAAAATGCCATCCCTTTTGGAATTTTTTTGAAAAATTTTTATTTGTAAAAAAAATCAACACGTAATAAGAACTTGTCCTTTGTGCAACATAAATTACTCCCGAAGGATTTGTTTAATTTGTAAATCGATATTTTTCGAAAGTAGTTGAGCCAACGGGCAAGAAATGGAGCAAAAGGTTCCATTTTGAGCGCAAGGCGATATTAATTTGACGTATTAGGAGGAGCGTAGTCTATGATTTTTATATATAAAAGCTATGAAAATTAAAATAGGCATGATCAAATGTTGACAAAAGCCAAAGTACTGGAAGTTTGTCGACGAAACGAGTTTGATGATGTATTAAAGAGTTCTTAAGAATCTTTCCTTTTACTTCCATGAAAATTGATATCAAACCATTTTTGTTACGCTCATTCAGTAAAATGTTTTGAGAAAAAACCTGGCATTTTATTCGCTCATCATTACTTTAAGAAAACGATTCCATGCTCGTGTATTACCTGTACATGTAAAACCATCAGCATCAAGTTTCGTATCCAGTGTACAGGAACAAGTAAATGATCCTGCAGTGTTCGTTGCCAAGCGCCATTTGTATCCGTCACAATTGTCAGTAATTTGCAGGTGCATTCGTCTAATATCTAAAAAACGAGCAAATAATTTGTTATTAGGTTGCCTTATTCTTGTTGTGTGAAAGCTACATATGAAATATCATTCCATGCTCGTTATTACATCTACATGATTTTCTCTGATTGCCGTAATGATATTGAATTTTTATAACAATTTGCAATTATATAGTTATTTCTGAAAAATTTAGTTCCCAAGATTTTCATGTCACAATGAATAATTGTTTTCAAAAGTTATAGTAGTGGAAGTTTGTCGACGAACCGATTTTGAGGATGTATTAAGAAGTTCTTTAAAATCTCTCATTTTACTTCCATAAAAATTGATATCAAACATTTTGCTTTCCGCTTATTAGTATATGTTGAGAAAACCTGGCAATTTAATCGCTCAACATCAATTTTAGGAAACTAATCATGCTCGTGTATTACCTGTACATGTAAAACCATCAGCATCAAGTTCGTATCCAGTGTTACACGAACAAGTAAATGATCCTGCAGTATTTGTGCAAACGCCATTTGTATCGTCACAGTTGTCAGTATCTGCAGTACATTCATCTATATCTGAAAATAGCAAATAATTGTTAATCATTTTGAATTTCACTTGAAAAACTTTCATATGAAATATATGTATTACATGAGTAATTTCATCGCGTACATTATATTTCAGATTGTCTTATTGAAAATTAATCATATAACACTCTGTAGATAATTCTGAAATGCAATTTGCTTGCTTTACATGTTACAATGAATAATTGTCTTTAAAGTTAATATGTCTGAAAGCTACTTGAAGTATATAATTATGTGGTTTGATAATTTATATTTTGTTAACATCTTTTTTCCTATTTTTTATATTATTATCTTTAATTAGAAAGTGAAACTTTTTTCTTACGCTTAAGGGAAGATGTAGAAAATTTATAGCATTGTAAAGAATCACATGACTTTTTACAAAAAAGGACTCATGCTCGTGTTTACCTGCTTACATGTAAAACCATCAGCATCAAGTTCGTATCCAGTGTTACACGAACAAGTAAATGATCCTGCAGTATTCGTGCATATGCCATTTGTATCGTCACAGTTGTCAGTATTTGCAGTGCATTCGTCTATATCTGAAAACCAAGCAAATAATTGTTATTAGGTTGCTTATTTCTTGATTGTGAAACCTAGATATTGAGATATTCAATACTTGAGCGTTTTTTTGCTTAATCTACATATTTTTTTTTGATTTGTCGTATTAATGATGATTTTTAATAACACTTTGCAATTGTAAGTAAATATTCCAAATTTAGTTCCCAACCTTTTCATGTCACAATGAATAATTATTTTCAAAAGTCATAGTACTGGAAGTTTGTCCACGAACTGATTTTTATGATGTATTAAGGTATTAGGACTCTAATGGGCACTATCAAGAACTAAAAAATTGACATCATAGGTCAGATGAATACCTTAAAGTACACCTGTATGCAAAATTTAAACAAAGTTTACCGTACGGAAATCAAGTTATGGCCACTTTTCTTAACTCCAGCTAGGATGTTAGAGGGCCCTTTTTTTAGAAATGAGGAACCTTTAAGAAATCTGCAATAACATTCTAAATGAAACATGTTTTCCCATTAATTTTTTGGTAAAGAAAACAAATAGTACCATTCAGCTAACAATCACAATAAGCAAAATTATGGTTTCTACTTAAAATTTATGAAATCTGTAAAAAAATGTTACCCTTTACCCCACCCATATTTTACCACGTGTCTGACCATTTTTCTACTTAGGGAGTCTAATTTAAAAAAAAGAATCTTAAAATTTACCCAAATGAGGCCGGTTTTCAAAGTTTCCCAAATTTTTTTAAAAAGTATTTTGGTTGATCTTGTAAAATATGAACTACTTTTATCGTCTAGTTTTGATTATATTACACTTTGAAAATATCAGGTACCATATTTATTACTAGACTTAGCATAATTTAGCCAATAAATACCTATATAAATTAAAAAAAATCAAAATTAAACACTTTTTTCTTTCCAAATGGGACATGAGAGATACATAAATAATGTTAAAAGAAAGAAAAGAACGAAAAAAAAGTTGACCCTTCTGGGGATTGAACCCATGGCCCTCATTTTCAATGTAGTTAACAGTAGTTCTAGCCTATTTGAATACTCTTCAAAGCGGAGGTAATACATTAGGGTGATAATACCTTAAGAATTTCTTTAAAAATCTTTGATTTTGCTTCCCTGAAAATGGATATCAAACATTTTTATTTCCGCTTATCAGTAAATGTTCGAAAACCTGGCATTTTAATAGCTCAACATCAATTTTAGGAAACGATTCATGCTCATGTATTACCTGTACATGTAAAATCATCAGCATCAAGTTCGTATCCTGCGTTACACGAACAAGTAAATGATCCTGCAGTATTCGTGCAAACGCCATTCGTATCGTCACAGTTGTCAGTATTCGCAGTGCATTCGTCTATATCTGAAAACAGCAAATAATTGTTATTAGGCTGCTATTCTGTTGTGAAACCTACATATGAAATATCAATACATGAGCGTTATTGCTTAATCTACATAATTTCTCCTGTTTTCGTTTTGATTAATGTTAAACGCCACTTTGCAAATGCAGTAATTCTGAAATTTTGTTTCCAAGCTTTACATGTCACAATGAATAATCGTTTTCAAAAGTCATAGTACTGGAAGTTTGTCGAAGAACAAATTTTAATGATTTATTGAGCAGTTCGTTAAAATCTTTCATTTTACTGCCGTTAAAATGGATATCAAACAGTTTTCGTTAGACTTATCAGATAATGTTTACAAAACCTGGCTTTTAAATTGTTCAACATAACCTTTAGATAAAAGACTCATGCTCTTATATTACCTGTACATGTAAAACCATCAGCATCAAGCTCGTACCCAGAGTCACACGAACAAGTAAATGATCCTGCTGTGTTCGTGCAAACGCCATTTGTATCGCCACAGTTGTCAGTATTTGCAGTGCATTCGTCTATATCTGAAAGCAACAAATTATTCTTTGTAAGGTTGATATTCTAATGTCAAAGCTACATACGAAATATCAATAGATGAGCGTTATTGCAACACCTACATGTCTTACCTGATTGTCGTATTAATAATGCTTTTTATGACACTTTGCAATTGTAATAATTCTGAAATTAAGTAACCAAGATTTTCATGCCACAATAAATAATCATTTTCAAAAGCCAAAGTACTGGAAGTTTGTCGACGAAACGAGTTTGATGATGTATTAAAGAGTTCTTAAGAATCTTTCCTTTTACTTCCATGAAAATTGATATCAAACATTTTGTTACGCTCATCAGTAAATGTTGAGAAAACCTGGCATTTTATTCGCTCATCATTACTTTTAGGAAACGATTCATGCTCGTGTTTTACCTGTACATGTAAAACCATCAGCATCAAGTTCGTATCCAGTGTTACAGGAACAAGTAAATGATCCTGCAGTGTTTGTACAAACGCCATTTGTATCGTCACAGTTGTCAGTATTCGCAGTGCATTCGTCTATATCTGAAAACAGCAAATAATGTTAATCAATGTGTTTTGTTTTTGAAAAACCTGCATATGAAATGTGTAAACATGAGTGGCATTTCATGGCGTACATAATTTTAAGGTTGGTATTCTGTTGTGAAACCTACATATGAAATATCAATCCATGATCGTTATTGCATCATCTTTAATTATTTGTATGACACTTTGCAAAGGTAGTAATTTTGAAATTGTGTTTCCAGCCTTTTCATGTCACAATGAATAATTGTTTTAAAAATTCACAGTACTAGAAGTTTGTCGACAAACACGAACGGATTTTCATGAAGTATTAAGATGTTCTTTAGATTCTCTTATTTCATTTCCATGAAAATGTATATCAAACATTTTTCTTTAAGCTTATCAGTAAATGTTGAGAAAACATGGCATTTTAATCGCTCAATATAACTTTAAGGAAACCAATCATGCTCGTGTATTACCTGTACATGTAAAACCATCAACATCAAGTTCATATCCAGCGTTACACGAACAAGTAAATGATCCTGCAGTGTTCGTGCAAACGCCATTTGTATCGTCACAGTTGTCAGTATTTGCAGTGCATTCATCTATATCTGAAAACAGCAAATAATTGTTAATCAGTTTGATTTTCACTTGAAAAACCTTCATATGAAATATGTATACATGAGTAATTTCATGGCGTACATTATTTTTCAGATTGTCATATTGATAATCAATCATATATCAATTTGTAGATAATGTTGAAATGCAATTTGCTTGCATAACATGTTACAATAAATAATTGTTTTTAAAAATAATAGGCCTGAAAGCAAGTAAAAGTATATATGTGGATGATGCATTTAATAGTTTGTTAAAATCTTTCCTATTGCTTATATTATATCTTTAATTTAGAAAGTGAACTTTTTTCTTACACTTAGAAGATGTAGAAAATATATAGCATTGTAAAGAATCAACATGACTTTTAAAAAAAAAGACTCATGCTCGTGGATTACCTGTACATGTAAAACCATCAGCTTCAAGTTTATATCCAGCGTTACACGAACAAGTAAATGATCCTGCAGTATTTGTGCATCCACCATTTGTATCGTCACAGTTGTCAGTATTTGCACTGCATTCGTCTATATCTGAAGACAGCAAATAATTGTTAATCAGTTTGATGTTCATTTAAGAAACTTTCATATTAAAGATGAAAACATGAGCGATAACTCATCAGGTACATATTTTTCAGATTGCCATATTGATAATCAATGATTTGACACGTGTTATCTTCAATTTTCTTCCTTAACATGTATCAATAAATAATTGATTTTAAAGATAATAGTCCGGAAAGTTCGCAGAAGTACATATGATGATCATGTGTTTAGAAAAAATAGATTAATATATGTTCTATTGCTAACATTGTATCTTGAAATGAGATATTTAATACTTTTTCTTACGCTTGTTTTTCAAAGAATGCAGATAATACATAGCAATGTTATAAATGCTTCATAATTTTAAGATAAAAGTGTCATGATGGTGTATTACCTGTACATGTAAAACCATCAACATCAAGTTCATATCCAGCGTTACACGAACAAGTAAATGATCCCACAGTGTTCGTGCAAATGCCATTCGTATCGTCACAGTTGTCAGTATTCGCAGTGCATTCGTCTATATCTGAAAACAGAAAATAATTGTCCATAAGGATGATATGATAATTCTGTTGTAAAACCTACATATGAAGTTTCGATACATGCGTGTGATAGCATCAACTACATGATTTCTCTGATTGTCATCTTGATAATTCTTACTATGAAACTTTGCAGTTGTAGTAATTCTGAAAAGTAATTTCCAAGCTTTTCATGTCACAATAAGTAATCGTTTTCAAAAGTTATAGTACTGGAAGTTTGTCGACGAAGAGTTTTGATGTTGTATTAAGAAGTTCTTTAATAATGTTTCATTACACTTATATTGAAATGGACATCAAACGTAATTTTTTACACTTATCAGTACATGTTGTAAAAATCTGGCATTTAAATCGCTCAATATAACTTATATGAAATGATTCATGTTCGTGTATTACCTGTACATGTAAAACCATCAGCATCAAGTTCGTATCCAACGTTACACGAACAAGTAAATGATCCTGCAGTGTTCGTGCAAGCGCCATTTGTATCGTCACAGTTGTCAGTATTTGCAGTGCATTCGTCTATATCTAAAAACAGCAAATAATTGTTATTAGGTTGCTATTCTGTTGTGAAACCTACATATGAAATATCATTCATGCTCGTTATTACATCTACATGATTTCTCTGATTGCCGTAATGATAATGATTTTTATAACAATTTGCAATTATAGTTATTCTGAAATTTAGTTCCCAAGATTTTCATGTCACAATGAATAATTGTTTTCAAAAGTCATAGTAGTGGAAGTTTGTCGACGAAAAGATTTAATGATGTTTTAAGAAGTTCTTAAAAAAATCTTTCATTTTACTTCCATGAAAATGGATATCAGAAACTTCTTCAAGCTTATCAGTAAATGTTGAGAAAATCTGGCATATTAATCGCTCAACAGCACTTTAAGAAAACAATTCAAGCTCTTGTATTACCTGTACATGTAAAACCATCAGCATCAAGTTCAAATCCAGCGTTACACGAACAAGTAAATGATCCTGCAGTATTCGTGCATATGCCATTTGTATCGTCACAGTTGTCAGTATTTGCAGTGCATTCGTCTATATCTGAAGACAGCAAATAATTGTTAATCAGTTTGATTTTCACTTGAAAAACCTTCATATGAAATATGTATACATGAGTCATTTCATGGCGTACATTATTTTTCAGATTGTGATATCATATAACACTCTGTTGATAATTTTGAAATGCAATTTGCTTGCTTTATATGTTAAAATGAATAATTGTTTTTAAAAAATAATAGGTCTCAAAGGTAGTAAAAGTTTATATGTGGATGATGCATTTAATAGTTTGTTAAAATCTTTCCTTTTGCTTATATTATATCTTTAATTTAGAAAGTGAAATTTTTCTTACGCTTAGAAGATGTAGAAAATTTAAAGCATTGTAAAGAATCAACATGACTTTTATAAAAAGACTCATGCTCGTGGATTACCTGTACATGTAAAACCATCAGCATCAAGTTCATATCCAGCGTTACACGAACAAGTAAATGATCCTGCTGTATTCGTGCATATGCCATTTGTATCATCACAGTTGTCAGTATTCGCAGTGCATTCGTCTATATCTGAAAACAGCAAATAATTGTCAATTAGGTCGATATTCTATCGTTAAAACTACATATGAAGTATCAATACATGAGCGTTGTTACATTACCTACATGATTTCTTTGATAATTCTTACTGTGAAACATTGCAATTGTAGTAATTCTGAAAATTAATTTTCAAGCTTTTCATGTTACAATAAATAATCTTTTTCAAAAGTCATAGTAGTTGAAGTTTGTCGACGAAGAGATTTTGATGATGTATCAAGAAGGTCTTTAAAAATCTGTCATATTACTTCCATGAAGATGAATATCAGAAACTTCTTTAAGCTTATCAGTAAATGTTGAGAAAATCTGGCATATTAATCGCTCAACATCAATTTTAGGAAACCAATCATGCTCGTGTATTACCTGTACATGTAAAACCATCAGCATCAAGTTCGTATCCAGTGTTACACGAACAAGTAAATGATCCTGCAGTGTTCGTACAAACGCCATTTGTATCGTCACAGTTGTCAGTATTTGCAGTGCATTCATCTATATCTGAAAACAGCAAATAATTGTTAATCAGTTTGATTTTCACTTGAAAAACCTTCATATGAAATATGTATACATGAGTAATTTCATGGCGTACATTATTTTTCAGATTGTCATATTGATAATCAATCATATAACACTTTGTAGATAATTTTGAAATGCAATTTGCTTGCTTTACATGTTACAATGAATAATTGTTTTTAAAATCATAGGTCTGGAAGTTAGTAAAAGTATATATGTGGATGATGCATTTAATAGTTTGTTAAAATCTTTCCTATTGCTTATATTATATCTTTAATTGAGAAAGTGAACTTTTTTCTTACGCTTAGAAGATGTAGAAAATATATAGCATTGTAAAGAATCAACATGACTTTTATAAAAAGACTCATGCTCGTGGATTACCTGTACATGTAAAACCATCAGCATCAAGTTCATATCCAGCGTTACACGAACAAGTAAATGATCCTGCAGTATTCGTGCATATGCCATTTGTATCGTCACAGTTGTCAGTATTCGCAGTGCATTCGTCTATATCTGAAAGCAGCAAATAATTGTTAATCAGTTTGATTTTCACTTGAAAAACCTTCATATGAAATATGTATACTTGAGTAATTTCTTGGCGTACATTATTTTTCAGATTGTCATATTGATAATCAATCATATAACACTTTGTAGATAATTTTGAAATGCAATTTGCTTGCTTTACATGTTACAATGAATAATTGTTTTTAAAATCATAGGTCTGGAAGTTAGTAAAAGTATATATGTGGATGATGCATTTAATAGTTTGTTAAAATCTTTTCTATTGCTTATATTATATCTTTAATTGAGAAAGTGAACTTTTTTCTTACGCTTAGAAGATGTAGAAAATATATAGCATTGTAAAGAATAAACATGACTTTAAAAAAAAGACTCATGCTCGTGTATTACCTGTACATGTAAAACCATCAGCATCAAGTTCATATCCAGCGTTACACGAACAAGTAAATGATCCTGCAGTATTCGTGCATATGCCATTTGTATCGTCACAGTTGTCAGTATTTGCAGTGCATTCGTCTATATCTGAAGACAGCAAATAATTGTTAATCAGTTTGATTTTCACTTGAAAAACCTTCATATGAAATATGTATACATGAGTAATTTCATCGCGTACATTATATTTCAGATTGTATTATTGAAAATTATCATATAACACTCTGAAGATAATTCTGAAATGCAATTTGCTTACTTTACATGTTACAATGAATAATTGTCTTTAAAGATAATATGTCTGAAAGCTAGTAGAAGTATATAATTATGTGGGTGATGCATTTAATATTTTGTTAAAATCTTTCCTATTTTTTATATTAAATCTTTAATTTAGAAAGTGAACTTTTTTCTTACGCTTAGGAAGATGTAGAAAATATATAGCATTGTAAAGAATCAACATGACTTTTATGAAAAGACTCATGCTCGTGGATTACCTGTACATGTAAAACCATCAGCATCAAGTTCGTATCCAGCGTTACACGAACAAGTAAATGATCCTGCAGTATTCGTGCATATGCCATTTGTATCGTCACAGTTGTCAGTATTTGCAGTACATTCGTCTATATCTGAAAACAGCAAATAATTGTTAATCAGTTTGATTTTCACTTGAAAAACCTTCATACAAATTATGTATACATGAGTAATTTCATGGAGTACATTATTTTTCAGATTGTCATATTGATAATCAATCATATAACACTCTGTAGATAATTTTGAAATGCAATTTGCTTGCTTTACATGTTACAATGAATAATTGTTTTTAAAATCATAGGTCTGAAAGTTAGTAAAAGTATATATGTGGATGATGCATTTAATAGTTTGTTAAAATCTTTCCTATTGCTTATATTATATCTTTAATTGAGAAAGTGAACTTTTTTCTTACGCTTAGAAGATGTAGAAAATATATAGCATTGTAAAGAATCAACATGACTTTTATAAAAAGACTCATGCTCGTGGATTACCTGTACATGTAAAACCATCAGCATCAAGTTCATATCCAGCGTTACACGAACAAGTAAATGATCCTGCAGTATTCGTGCATATGCCATTTGTATCGTCACAGTTGTCAGTATTTGCAGTGCATTCGTCTATATCTGAAGACAGCAAATGATTGTTAATCAGTTTGATTTTCACTTGAAAAACCTTCATATGAAATATGTATACATGAGTAATTTCATGGCGTACATTATTTTTCAGATTGTCATATCATATAACACTCTGTAGATAATTTTGAAATGCAATTTGCTTGCTTTACATGTTAAAATGGATAATTGTTTTTAAAAAATAATAGGTCTGAAAGCTAGTAAAAGTATATATGTGGATGATGCATTTAATAGTTTGTTAAAATCTTTCCTATTGCTTATATTATATCTTTAATTTAGAAAGTGAACTTTTTTCTTACGCTTAGAAGATGTAGAAAATTTAAAGCATTGTAAAGAATCAACATGACTTTTATAAAAAGACTCATGCTCGTGGATTACCTGTACATGTAAAACCATCAGCATCAAGTTCATATCCAGCGTTACACGAACAAGTAAATGATCCTGCAGTATTCGTGCATATGCCATTTGTATCATCACAGTTGTCAGTATTCGCAGTGCATTCGTCTATATCTGAAAACAGCAAATAATTGTCAATTAGGTCGATATTCTATCGTGAAAACTACATATGAAGTATCAATACATGAGCGTTGTTACATTACCTACATGATTTCTTTGATTGTCGTATTAATAATTCTTACTGTGAAACATTGCAATTGTAGTAATTCTGAAAATTAATTTTCAAGCTTTTCATGTTACAATAAATAATCATTTTCAAAAGTCATAGTAGTTGAAGTTTGTCGACGAAGAGATTTTGATGATGTATCAAGAAGGTCTTTAAAAATCTGTCATATTACTTCCATGAAGATGAATATCAGAAACTTCTTTAAGCTTATCAGTAAATGTTGAGAAAATCTGGCATATTAATCGCTCAACATCAATTTTAGGAAACCAATCATGCTCGTGTATTACCTGTACATGTAAAACCATCAGCATCAAGTTCGTATCCAGTGTTACACGAACAAGTAAATGATCCTGCAGTGTTCGTACAAACGCCATTTGTATCGTCACAGTTGTCAGTATTTGCAGTGCATTCGTCTATATCTGAAGACAGCAAATAATTGTTAATCAGTTTGATTTTCACTTGAAAAACCTTCATATGAAATATGTATACATGAGTAATTTCATGGCGTACATTATTTTTCAGATTGTCATATTGATAATCAATCATATAACACTTTGTAGATAATTTTGAAAAATAAGCTATTCATGTTACAATAAATAATCATTTTCAAAAGTCATAGTAGTTGAAGTTTGTCGACGAAGAGATTTTGATGATGTATCAAGAAGGTCTTTAAAAATCTGTCATATTACTTCCATGAAGATGAATATCAGAAACTTTTTTAAGCTTATCAGTAAATGTTGAGAAAATCTGGCATATTAATCGCTCAACATCAATTTTAGGAAACCAATCATGCTCGTGTATTACCTGTACATGTAAAACCATCAGCATCAAGTTCATATCCAGCGTTACACGAACAAGTAAATGATCCTGCAGTATTCGTGCATATGCCATTTGTATCGTCACAGTTGTCAGTATTTGCAGTGCATTCGTCTATATCTGAAGACAGCAAATAATTGTTAATCAGTTTGATTTTCACTTGAAAAACCTTCATATGAAATATGTATACATGAGTAATTTCATGGCGTACATTATTTTTCAGATTGTCATATTATATCACACTCTGTAGATAATTTTGAAATGCAATTTGCTTGCTTTACATGTTAAAATGAATAATTTTTTTTAAAAAAAATAGGTCTGAAAGCTGGTAAAAGTATATATGTGGATGATGCATTTAATAGTTTGTTAAAATCTTTCCTAATGCTTATATTATATCTTTAATTTAGAAAGTGAACTTTTTTCTTACGCTTAGAAGATGTAGAAAATATATAGCATTGTAAAGAATCAACATGACTTTTATAAAAAGACTCATGCTCGTGGATTACCTGTACATGTAAAACCATCAGCATCAAGTTCGTATCCAGTGTTACACGAACAAGTAAATGATCCTGCAGTGTTCGTGCAAACGCCATTTGTATCGTCACAGTTGTCAGTATTTGCAGTGCATTCATCTATATCTGAAGACAGCAAATAATTGTTAATCAGTTTGATTTTCACTTGAAAAACCTTCATACAAAATATGTATACATGAGTAATTTCATGGCGTACATTATTTTTTAGATTGTCATATTGATAACCAATCATATAACACCACTTTGTAGATAATTTTGAAATGCAATTTGCTTGCTTTACATGTTACAATGAATAATTGTTTTTAAAATCATAGGTCTGAAAGTTAGTAAAAGTATATATGTGGATGATGCATTTAATAGTTTGTTAAAATCTTTCCTATTCCTTATATTATATCTTTAATTGAGAAAGTGAACTTTTTTCTTACGCTTAGAAGATGTAGAAAATATATAGCATTGTAAAGAATCAACATGACTTTTATAAAAAGACCCATGCTCGTGGATTACCTGTACATGTAAAACCATCAGCATCAAGTTCATATCCATCGTTACACGAACAAGTAAATGATCCTGCAGTATTCGTGCATATGCCATTTGTATCGTCACAGTTGTCAGTATTTGCAGTGCATTCGTCTATATCTGAAGACAGCAAATGATTGTTAATCAGTTTGATTTTCACTTGAAAAACTTTCATATGAAAATATGTATACATGAGTAATTTCATGGCGTACATTATTTTTCAGATTGTCATATTATATCACACTCTGTAGATAACATTTTTTGAAATGCAATTTGCTTGCTTTACATGTTAAAAATGGATAATTGTTTTTGAAAAATAATAGGTCTGAAAGCTTAGTAAAAGTATATATATGGATGATGCATTTAATAGTTTGTTAAAATATTTCCTATTGCTTATATTATATCTTTAAATTTAGAAGTGAACTTTTTTCTACGCTTAGAAGATGAATGTAGAAAATTCTATAGCATTTGTAAGAATCAACATGAACTTTTATAAAAAGACTCATGCTCGTGGTTTTACCTGTAATGTAAAACATCAGCATAAAAGCTTCATATCCAGCGTTACTCGAACCAAGGGTTAAAATGATCCTGCAGTATTCGTCCGATATGCCCCTTTGTTCGTCACAGTTTTGTCGCAAGTAATTTTGCAAGTGCAATTCGTTCTATATCTGAAAGACAGCAAATTTGTTTTGGAAAAATAGTTTGGGAAATTTTCACATTGAAAAAACCCTTTCCCTAGAATATGTATACCATGAGTTAATTTCCATGCCGTACAATTTTTTTCAGAATTGGGCATACTCCATAAAACACTCTGTTAGATCAATTTTTGAAAATGCAAATTGCTTGCTTTTAACATGTTAAATGGAATAATATTTTTTTTAAAAATGATAGGTCTGAACAGCTGGTCAAAAAGTATATATGTGGATGATGCATTTAATAGTTTGTTAAAGATCTTTCCTATTGCTGTAAATTATATTTTATAATTTCAGAAAGTGGACTTTTTTTTCTTCCTTGCTTAGAAGATGTAGAAAATGTTTAAAAGCATTGTAAAGAGATTTCAACAATAGACTTTTTATAAAAATACTCAATGCCTCGTGGGTTTAAAACCTGTACAATTGTAAAAACATCAGCCATCAAGTTCCCATATCCGCGTTTTAACACGAACAAGTAAATGATTCCTGCAGTATCGTGCATAATGCGATTTGTAATCATCACAGTTGGGTCAGTAATTCGCAGTGCCATTCGGTACTATATTGAATAACATTGCAAATAAATTGTTAATCAGAGTTTGATTTTTTCACTTGGGAAAAACCCCTTCATATGAAAACTATGATATTTTTGAAAAATTTTAAATTGGCGTACTTTAAATTTTTGGGATTGTAAATTTTGGGAATAATCAATCATATAAAAATTTTGGGAAAGATAATTTTGAAATGCAAATTGCTTTGTTTTAAAATTTTAAAATAAATTTAATTTTTTTTTAAAAAATGATGGGTTTGGGAAAGGGGGGTAAAAGTATATTTTGTGGTTTTGATGCTTTAAAATTTTTTGGTTAAAATTTTTTTCCAAATTGTTTAAATTTATTCTTTTTTAAAGAAAGTGACTTTTTTTTTTTTAAACCCCTTAAAGAAGTTTTTAAAAAAAATGAAAAAAGCATTTTTAAAAAAAATCAAACTGATTTTAAAAAAATCCCTCTGCTCGGGGGATTCCCTTTGTACTTTGAAAAACCATCAGCACCCAATTTTTCATATCCAGCGTTACCCCAAAACAAGTAAATGACCCTTTGCAGTTTTCGGCATATGCCTTTTTTGTATTTTTCACGGGTTTGTCAGTATTTGCAGTGAAATTCGTTATATCTGAAAAAAAAGAAAAAATAATTTTTTAATTTTTTTTTAAATTTTCCCATTGAAAAACCTTCTTTAAAAATATTATACTTGAGTAATTTCAGGGCCCTTTACATTTTTTTCGGTTTGCCCATATTGAAAATTTCAATCATATAAATTTTGTAGAAAAATTTTTTGAAATGCAAAATTTGCTTGCTTTAAAATGTTACAATAAAATAATTTTTTTTTAAAATAAAAGGTTGGAAAAAGTTAGTAAAAGTATTATGTGGATGATGAAATTTTTATGTTTTTTTAAAATTTTCCCTATTCCCTTATTTTTATATTTTTTAATTGAGAAATTTGGAACTTTTTTTTTAAAACGTTTAAAGAAATTAAAATAAAATGCTTGGTAAAAATCAAAATGATTTTTTATAAAAAAAGACCCCAGGGCTCGTGGATTATTTGTACATTGAAAACCCAATCACATCAAGTTTTACCCCAGCTTTTAACAGGGAACAAGTAAATGATCCTGCAGTATTCGTCCCAAAAATTGCCTTTTGAAATGGGTCAAAAAGTTGTAGTATTTCCCAGGGGGCATTGGGCCCCTTTTATTTTGAAAACCCCAAATTTGATTTTTTAATAAAGTTTGATTTTCAATTAAAAAACCCCTTCATATGAAATTTAGGGTAAAACATAAAAAATTTCATGGCGTACTTTTTTTTTTTCTGATTTTTTTATATCATATAAAAACTCTGTGTTTTAAATTTGAAATCCCAATTTTTGCTTCCCTTTAAACTTTTTAAAATAAATTTAATTTTTTTTAAAAAATAATAGGTTTTTGGAAAAGTTTGGAAAAAGTAAAATTTGTGGATAAATGCATTTAATTTTTGGGTTTAAAATTTTTCCCCCTATTGTTTTAAATTATATCTTTAATTTAGAAAGTGACTTTTTTTTTCTTCGTTTTAAAAAATTGTAAGAAAATTTTAAAGGGGCATTTTTAAAAAAATTCCAACTACTTTTAAAAAAAAAAAACTCTTTGCCCCGGGGGTTTAAACCTGAAAACATGAAAACCATAAAGCAAAATTTCAAAAATCCACCCGGAAAACACGAAAAAAGAAAAATGCCCTCCCAGTTTTCCCTTTGCATATCCCAAATTTTGGGTTAATCGCCCCAAAAGTTGTCAGTATTTGCAGTGCTTTCCCGCCCTATATCTAAAAACGGGCAAATAATTGTAAATTGGGGCCCGATATTTTTAAACCCGTAAAAACTAATATAAAAGTATAAAAAACATAAACCCGTTTTTTAACATTCCCTTTCATAAATTTTCCTTTAAATTGTCGTATTAAAAATTTCCCTTCCCTGTGAAAAAATTGCAAATTGAAATTTAATTTTTTAAAAAATTTAAATTTTCCCAACCCCTTTTTCATTTTTTAAAAATAAAAAAACCCTTTTTTCCCAAAACCCCAAAGTAGTTAAAAGGTTTTTTCCAAACAAAAGAAAAAATTTTGATGATTTTAATAAAGAACCCCCTTTTAAAAATCTGTCTATTATTTTCCATGAAAAGAAAAATCGAAAATCTTTAAGTTATCAGTAAATGTTGAAAAAAAATCTGGCAAAATTAATTCGTTTCAACTCAATTTTGGGAAAACCAACCCATGTTCGTGTTTACCTTTTTAAATTAAAAACCCATCAAATCAATTTCCCCAAAACCCCGGGGGTTACCGAACAAGAAAAAGGGACCCTTTGCAGAAAATTCGGGGCATATGCCTTTTTGTATAAATCACAGTTGTCAAAAATTTGGGCAGTGAAATTCATCTATATCTGAAGACAGCAAAAAAAGGGTTTAATAAAAGTTTGATTTTCACTTAAAAAACCCCTTTCCATAGGGAAAATTTTAAAAACGGGAAGTAATTTCAGGGCGTACTTTAAAATTTTTTCAGATTGTCATTTTTATAATAAACATAAAAACATTTTGTAGAAAATTTTGAAATGCAATTTGCTTCCCCTTTACATTTCCAATGAAAATTTTTTTAAATCAGTGTTTTTTTTCCACTTAAAAAAGCCCCCATGTGAAAAAATGAAAAACCCTGTGGGGTTTATTCCATCGCTTTCCATAATTTTTGGGTTGGGTTTTTCTTTTACGGGAAACCTCCCATTTTGAAATTCAAACAGACGTTATTAAAATAAAATTTAAAATGATTTCTCTTAAAATTGTGGGTAGGGGTTTAAGATTTTTATGAAAACCTTTTGCAAGGGGGTTAGTAATTTTTAAAATTTAGTTTTAACCCCTTTTTTCATGTAAACAATAAAAAAAATCGTTTTGGGAAAAGGGTTCATATTAGGGGAAAAGTTTTTTTCGACGAAAAGTTTTAAAATGATTTTTAAAAGAATTTTTTTTAAAAAAATCTTTCTTTTAAATTTACCATAAAAATGGAAAAAAAACATTTTTTTTACGCTTTTTCGTAAATTTTGGGAAAAAATCCCTTTTCCCAACGCTCATAACCCTTTTTTATGGACAGAAAGAATAATTTTTTTAATCATTGTGTTTTTTTTACTGAAAAAAACCCGGAAAAATGAAATATTTCACATGAAGTTTTTTTCCCTTTCGCGTTACGAAAATTTTGCAAAAAATTTCCCCGAAATTGGAAAAATCTAAATAAAAACTCTGTAAAAATTAAATTTTTAAAATGAAATTTTTTCCCTTTAAAAATGTTTTTAATGAATGATTGTTTTTGAAAATATAGCCCCTGAACGTAATTTAAACTATTTTGTTGATAATGTTTTTAAATTTTCTTGATTATCTTTCTTTTTGTGATATTATATTTTTAAAAATATTTTTCCTTATGTTTTATCAGACGGGGTTTAAAAATAATACATGGGTATTGAAAAAAAGCAACATTTTTTTTTTTGGTTTTTTTTAAAAAAGATATGACCCTTTTTTTCCGTACAAAAATACCATCAGCTTTAAAGTTGGGAACAAGCTTTAACCCCGAAAAAGTAAAAAAATCCTTACGTGTTTTGAAAACACCTTTTGTATTTGACAGTTACCAAATTCTTCCCGGGGTTTCCCGGGTACAGACCGGAATATCTAGCTGGAGGGTGACTGTTTACAGCGGTAACGAAGCTCTGCCGAGTTTCCGTTATACAGTTACCCTGGAGCTAGAAATTCCCGTCTGCACCGACTGCCGGTGTTTGATTCTTTTTCTTGCATTTTACATATCAATTGTTTTCAGAACAAAAATTGTGAGAACTGATATTCTCATTACGCACTTTTTTCTTATAGTAGCGTATGAACTTACAACTCCATTCATAACGGTAAAGTGACATCATCCTAAGAACGCAAATCATTCATAAAAGGCATGCGGCAGTGATGTCATTTAAAGCACGCGACTTGTTTTACATGGGGGGTGTAAGAAGAAAGTTTTCTTGCACCGGTGTAAACGGTAGATAATACTGTCTGATAAGCAAGAATTATTTGTATTGCATTCGTCAATATCTGAGAACATCAAATAATTGTTAGATAGTTAGATCCATCTTTCTTTAAGAAACCTTCACATACAATATTCATATATTAGCGTCATCTCTTCCACTTGATGTTCCTGATTTTTATGTAGATAATATATTTTACAAAATTGTGTTAGTGATTCTGAAATGCAATTACCGTGCTGAACATTATATTTGATATATATTCAAAACAACTTTAAAATTTGACATAATTGTTTTCAATTTTATATTTTAATACACGAAATTGTTAATAACAAATATAACTTAGAACAATATCTGTGATTAAAACAAGTACTTGGTCCAATGGATAAAACGAGAGGGACATTCTATCATCATTTTAAATACTAGTAATTGTTTCCTTATCGTTGTAAGTATCAATTATTTGTCAATGAATATTAAATGAGTCAACTAGCTTAAAATAACAACTACTTCAGCTAAACCTGAGCATAATGCCACAAGAAAATATTTTTTCATTACTGCTTTGACAGATGTATTCAATAATAAATGAAATCAAAAGATTAATTTGGATTAAGCTACGGAGAGAATAATTCAATGTTTCGGATTAATTATGGAATCTGCCATTAGTTAGAGAACGAAAACATTTTGCTGATAAGATATGTTAGTATGATAAATATTGCTTACTTGAAGATAATATATAATTTGAAACCTATTATCACACTTATTTTACAGTTCTACCGTTCAAATTATATATGGGTTATTGCAAAGAATATGTATAATATCATTTCTTATCGTTTTTAAACGCAGCTATTCGTCTTAAAATTTGTACACCAAAAACAGTAACTGTGCGTATACTTATTTGTCTTACGTTTTTCTCATATCTAAATTATGTATAGTTTTGATTTGGCAAATAACATTATACATATATATACCAGTTTAAAAAAAATAAGAAAAATATATAAATAATAAATAGAATTGACGTTTTGTAAAATGGATTTTTGTTCTCAATGATGAGAAGTTGTTTTGTTAGCTTTAGAATTAGAATAATCATTTTATTCAATTTGTATAGCATACACACTCATCAATAAAATTGAAAACTTCGTCTTTAATTGAAAATGTATAATTATTTGACTTTTTTATCACAGTTCTGACATCAACGCCTGTTTAATCATCCCAGGGCATTAATTTTGGCAACGACCACCAGATTTCAAAGACAAACCATTATATTTTCCTAGTTAATTTAATGTTTGTAGAAAGAAGAACGCATTAAAGGCATATGCCACATGAACAAATCAATGTTAACTTCTTTAGAAAGGGTAAACATAATATAATGTTTAAATAGAGTCTAGACTTTAAAGCATCTTAGATAATTGTTATCTGAAGAAAGTTAAAACATTTGTAATAAAAGTAGCAAACTGTGAACAAAGTAGTATTTTGGCTTCAATACAATTTACTAAATGAATATGACAAAGAGCAACAGCAGAAATAGATGGTTCAGGTGATTGGCCAAGGATTTACTTTTTAGAAAATGTTAAATTTCTTTGAAAATTAAAAAAGCTTTTGAGAAATAAAAAAACACATCAAGGGCATAATTCGCCTTTAAATTTGATTATGTAACAACATATTTTATGTTTTGAACTAGCTGTCTTTCGATTGCGTGTATTGTGTAGATAAAAAAAGAACACGATGCTCTCTTGATAATTACTCAACTTCTTGTCGTTATGTAAAAGTCATCGTACGAGAAATAGGTCTGCATACTACTTACAGACCCGAGCGATCGAGGTTTTTAAAGGCCACTCGGTTTTTACATATTTGTACATATAATGTAGGTCTATTCCGAGAGCGGTAACTATCTTACCTATATGCTCTTTTTTTATCCAAACATTAGGTTTTACAAAGTATTCTTTTTGTAGTGTTTCATGTAATATATGAACATTTTTATGTTAATGTAATAAAGTAAGGTTAATGTAATTGTTGAGTCAAAGAAAATGGAAATAGAACTTACCGAGATTCAGTCATTGGTGCATAATATAGTAGAAATATACAAAAATATTGAGGCTGAAATGTATTGATATATGGGAACTTAAATATTATAAACATGTTTTCTAATATTTAGAACAGAATACTTTGTTTTTTATATAATGAATCAATTTTAGTAGTACATGTGGATAATCCGTCTTGTATTTTTGTGCGTGTTTTTGTGTCTGTTTTTTTCTTTTTTATGGTTGGGTTTTATAGATTTTCAATATCCTTAGAATATGATACATGTTCGGAGGAATTTTCTTCCGTTGTATATTAATTAGCTTCATGGTTGATAAGATCGCAAGTAAGCACGGGGGTCTTGAAAGGATCCTTGGGCCATTAGCGCGAGCCGTATAGTTGAGAAGAACAGGCTGGTACTTGTAGATAATCCAAATTATGGAAAAAGCTGGAGTGAAAAAAAAAACGACCTTATACTCAAAATAATCTATAATCTCACTGAAAGTAATATTTTCGGACAGAAAGGTGCATAATTTGACTTTGATTCGATATGCACTAATATAATCGTCGTTTATATCCCATTATACAAAATTGTTAAAATTAACGCAGGATTGTGCAAATCATCAGACAGAATTAAGGAAATAAATGTCAAAAACTAGTTTTATATAAAGTTATATAGTTCGGCAAATGTGTTAGGTATACCGAGAAGTAAACTATAAAAAGGCGTAAATTAAGAAATAATATATCCCAAACAGTGATTTTATCGCTCAATAACATCACTGTTTGGAGTTCGGATGCGACGAATTATATCACGAAGGCGTAGTCCGAGTGATAAAATGATGCGCATCCGAACGACAAACAGTGATGTTATCAAGCGATAAAATTACCGATTTGGATATATTATTTTGATTCTAACACGACATCAACAAGTAAATGCTGCCGTATATTATAATTAGCTTAATTGCTATTATTATTATCGTATTATATATACAAGATACGCTCTTATTATGTTGTCTTATAATGGGTGTCTGTCTAAGTTTCAAGTTTTTTGACTGTGTTAATTATGTTAATTTTGTAAGTTAATTTTACTTTTTAAATTGCAGATTAAAATGATGCACTGATGAAAGTATTATGTTTAATGAGAAATATAATGAATTGTATGAATGTTCAGTATATGTGTTAAGATATATGTTAAAATTGTGATACCCATTTAATCATTTCCTATACATGTTATATTTTCTTTGATTGATATGTGTGCGTTTTTATTTTTTATATTAGAAGGCCGCATTGTAAATAAGATGTTGCAATCTGTATATGTCTTAATGTGTTACCTGCGGTAAATAAAGTTATTATGATTATTATTATTATGATTATTATTAAGCGGTATTTTTAAAGGAATCGGCGGATTCTGGAGTATGCTGCACCTTCATGAAGATTGCCTGTATGGTATATTTTAGGTGTAAATTTGAGGGTGGGGGTAAATATAAATTGCTGTCAGACATTTGTGTAAGGAGCAACGCGTGCAAACTATTATTTTCTTCATTGTATGCCATATATCATTGAATAATGCTGTGCAACTGGTTATCTGCCTGTGAAACAGATTTTGAAATATTTGGAATTGTGTTTCTGGCCACACTGAAATACAATTTTTTTCCATGTTTAGGTCCCCTGTCCCCTTAGCTTCATTGTGGCGCTGACTGTTGACCCAGTGACCTCAAATTTAGTAAATGTCATCTTATAATCAAGTCAAATGATAATGTAACAAGGTCTATTTTTCGGGTAATCTGTGTTTTGAGATGTTCCCCAGCTTTCCTGTGTTTTTATCCATATTGTGTATATAAGAGTGGTTTCCCCTTGACTGGCGGGAATTTGTACGTGTCTCGTGAATCTCGTTTTCATTCCGTTCAGTGTGTTGGTTGGTAGCCATTGAGAGAGGAAGGTCTCTCTAATCAGAAGTTATGATGTTTCTTACACTGTAACATGTTTCTTTTTGGTTGGAAACAGTTCATCTTTGTATAAGGTAACTATTGCAATGGCTGAAGTAATTTATTAAAGAATTATTCTTTGTTATTTTGGCTAAGTAATGTACAGGTTTCATTTCGAAGATAAATTCAAGATGGCTACTACTTTCAACTTTTTATTCTAATTATTCTTTTACTTATCTCAACTAATTTGCATGTATATAATAATTAATGCATTGTTCTTCACAGCAGCACTCGGTGAGATTCATTTGTGTGGATTTGTGTGGATGATGGCGTATATCTTATTTGTGTAAATGGGCTAAAGATCCTACAGATCTGTAAGTTGATATTTTATTGTCTTTGAGAGTAATGTTTTATATATATTATGTACTTTGATGAATTATTGAATTCTAATAACTTTTGCATTGTTAAAACTAAATGTAAGCACAGGGACCACTGTATCATTGAGTAATGGACTACTATAATTAAGAACTATGAACTTACCTATGAACTATGTTATTGATATAATTGGAGATGTATAAATAGCTGTGGATTTGAACCATGAGTTAGTTTGGGTATTTAACCTACTCCAGGTAAAATGTATATTTATCATGAGTGATATAAACGAGAGAAAACACTTCTATATGACTTGTAAGAATCTCCAATCATTTGGTAAGGATTGTTACTATTTACTATTTCAGTGCCTACCTTGTTCACATGCTTATATGATTACGTAGACTGATGTTTGGTTTACAAGATGTACCGGTATACTTTGTGAATATGTCAGATGAACTGTTGTAAATAATGTAAACAGTTGGTTTGTCAATAAACTGAATATGATCGAACCTGAAGAGAAGATTTTGTATATATTGATACCCCTGAAGAGATACCCAAAAATACAATAATACTAGGTATTATAAACCAGGATGGCTTAATTGTTTTCATTTATTTATCGCACAATAATTTTACATAAAGTGTCTGGGTTATCTTGACCAATGACCTCAAACATTTTATAAATAATCTACAAGCCATGGGCTATGTCCCTACAAATAGAAATAAACAAGGGCTTATTCCTTCTCAAGTTATCGTATAATCAATGTATAATCAATGTTAACAGGCCGTTAATTCGTACATACTGACTTCTATCACAGAAGGTTCCCTACAAAGGCCCATAACTAAGTCAAAATTAATGTCTGATTAATGGGCCTTGGACAGTAACCTCCTAATATGACCCTTGAAGTCTGTATTATGTTTATAGTGAATGCCATCAATATTTTTAAAGATGATTGTTGCCCCAGAAATGTAACTTATATAGAGTGTAATCTGATTGGCTAATTATCTCGTGCGACGACTAAGTTACTCGTAGCCACGACATAATATCTCGTGCGCACCACTTCATTTTCTCGTGCACACAACTAAGTAACTCGTGGCCACGACATAGTTTCTCGTGCGCACCACTTAATTATCTTGTGAACGCATGGCTACGATACATGCGAACGAGATAAATAATGAAACACACACGCACGCACGCGTACGCACGCCCACACACACGCCACCTCTGTGCCGTTGTACATAGCTGTTAGAAAGGGAACAGGACGAATTTACTGGTTGGAAGTTTGTCATAGGGAAAAGAGTAATGGTTAGGTTTATTATTGTATATTATACAATTATTGACTAGTGAGCCATTGAATATGATGTGATATTCACCGGCAGATGACATATTGACCGAGGCGATAGCCGAGGTCAATATGACTTTCTGCCGGTGAATATCACATCATATTCAATGGTTCACTAGTCAATAATTGTTTTATTATATGAATAGGCTAAGAAATTAAAAAAATCACAAAAGTGCAACCTTATAATTATACATGTACAAATTATGCCTCGTTGAAGCGCGGGAAGAAAGACGCACGTGTTAGGCGTGCAACGACTACGCGAACGCTGCGCATACAAAAATAATTCAAGTTTATAATCAATATTGCGGTGTTACCCTTAAGTATGATAGTAAAGTATTGATATTTTAATCGAGAAATATACCATAAAGAAAAAAAAGCAACAATTATTTTTTAATTAACACGCGTAATTAACAGTCTACGGCGTATGATCATTGAATATGAGTCTCAATCTATTTTTAGACTGGGAAAATCCAATTCAGCCAGTGAATATGATACTACACCCAGTAAATATGATTTTATAAAAAGTTTTGTTGACTACTGTTTGGACCAATGAGATTGCAGCTATATTTAGATCATATAATAATATTGTATATTATTGTATATTATTGCCTTTAAACCGGTAAGTGATATACCATCTTTTTGATTTCATAAATAAATAAATGACGGTTTTGTTATAATAATGCATAATTTTAGATTATACGAGATTATTAGTATCATTATTCGCACTAAACTCCATTTTAAATCGTAACTTATTGAAACTGCCGCGGTTGTAGGACTGTAGTTCGCCGCATTATGAAATACAGTAAGAATTTCATACCTTGGAACTACTTACTTTATCCAAAAAGTATTTTTGAATAAAAGTTTATTTACCAGACACATTGATGTATTTCGGTATCTAAATACTTTTGTGTTTATTGTATAACACTTTCGTGAATGACGGGTGCTTTAAACAAAAAGATACCACTTAATCTTACTAAGGAACACTTAAATAGAGCAAGTAGTGAGGAAGCGTATATAATTAAACCATATATACAGGGTGTTCATAATATGTGCTACACTTTCAAATAATTGTTGCTTTACTTATTTTATAGCTACAAACAAAATGCTTATACCAAAATAAACTACATACTTCACCATTTTGAATGCGACGTAAAATACTGGAAAACGTTAACGTCATAACGTCATGTATGACGTCATTATTATCTGCTATTTTCAAAATGGCGTTGTCCATGGAAAAGTGTCAAGATATCATAAAATTGTACTATGAACACTATTCTATCATATCTGTAACTAGAAGAATAAGGAAAATGTACCCTGCCGATAGAAGGGTGACCAGACTACAAGTAAGCAGAGTAGTTAAAAGATTTGAGCAGCATGGAAGTGTACTTGATCAGAGACACCGTAACCATGACCAAGACCAAGACTGAAATATCGAGACAATCAACAGTGATCGCTATTTGTCTCTTCTAAAATACAAGTTTCTGCCTGTGCTCCGTCGGAAAGGGATTGATATGACACAAACATGGTTCCAACAAGATGGTGCCGCTCCACACACGGCCCAGAGAATTCTTGAATTGCTTAAAAACATTAATTTTGACAAACGATTTATCTTTCTGAAGACGGAATGCACTTGGCCGCCCCACTCCCCAGATCTCAGTCCTTTGGATTTTTGTCTTTGGGGCTATCTCAAGGGCAGAGTCTACAAAGTGCAGCCAAAGACAGCAGATCAGCTTTAACAGTCCATAAGATGTGAAATTAGAACGATTACTGGTGACATGTGCAATGATGTGATGGAAAACTTCATGAAACGTGTGGAGATGGTGCGACGCCATAATGGACGTCATTTTGAGTATATGCTATAAATGGACCCTGTTTTCAAGCGTAGGTAAAAATATTATTGGTAGGTTAAATAAGGAAAAAACTGCACTTTTATAAATGGACAGCATTTCCCTTTAATATGGTACATTTTTCATTATTACTGACATTCTTACATAAACGAAATATTTGATATAAAGTGTATCACATATTATGAAACACCCTGAATGTCACAGTATGTATTTGAAAATGTGTGGAATAGAAACCTTAAATATGTTTGAAAAACAAAATGTGTTGTCTTCATGTAGATAATTTATATGAATCATATTTAATTGCTTATTGCAGAAATTATTGTCAGTCAACGATGTTTTTGTATTATAAACATGTAATTTGTTATAAATTAAAAAAAAACATCAATGTTCTTACCTATACAGGTGTCAATAGACTCTTCATACCCAGTATTACATTGACAGAATTCCGTGCCTGTATTACAGTTGCTATTGGTAATAGCATCACATTCAGTTCCATCCGATGTACATGCGGTGTCTGTTACCACTACAATAAAACTTATACGTAAAAGTTCATCTTATATTATTGTTTCATTACTAAAACTTTACAGTAGTTCAATATTAAAATATAAATTTTTTTATAATCGTTTTAATAAGCATATAGAGGATATTTGTTTAGTTCAGTGTAAGATCGGAATATATTTCACCGAGTGAGCACCAAAAGGTATATTTCACGAGTGGCGCAGCCACGAGTGAAATATGAACTTTTGGTGTTCACAAGGTGAAATATATTTCAATCTTACACTAAACTAAACAAATTTTCTTTTTATTACATGCAAAGAAACGTTTTTAAAGACATTAAACCTAATACTGAATGAAAAGCGCGCCAAATAATAATACAACGTGACGTCATTTACGACGTCACGTCATTAAGTTGGTACCCAGTACTGTGCACGCTGATATTTCACTGAAACAACGTAAGGGGCTTAAATTCAAAACAGTGAAATAATCAAAGTGGTAATTTCACTGTTTCAAACAGTGAAATTACCAGTTTTATATCACTGATATATTTCTATAAACCACCGAAAAGCATGTAATAAATGTACATTAATCAATGAGAGGTGGTTACTAACTGGGTAATTTGGTACAGTCAAAATTAAAAGGGATGACACTTAAAGTTGTAAAAAAAGTATTGGTATTTTTGATAAGTATGTGTATTATAAAAACTGGACATAACTACGTTGTATTTGATACTATTATATTGCCAATGATGCCAATAAAGTGGAAAACTATATTTACATGCATTTGTCCGACTAAGCAGCTGAAGGGCAAATATAACTACGAAACAGAACATCATTTTACTCCCTCTGAAATAGAAACGAATTCATAGCATGAATATTATCACTGCGGTATACCGTACCCCAGATATTGCTCGATATTATGAGGACTTTCATCCCATTTCGCGACTTTGAACGGGGAACGAAGGTAAGTTCAGCGACGATTTTTTCCAAATTACTGGCTATTTTATTTATCTCAACGGGTTTTATATATCTATCTTCTGGAGGTATTTTTGTAGCTCTAAAAGACATAAAAGTATTACAGGTATTTGTATAAAATTGATTAAAATACCCCTAAACGATCCGCTGCTCACTAGAAAATACTGACCGCGATACTGTAGAATTGTTAGAAATTATAATATTACCAATATAAAAAAAATTGAATCGAGCAATTTTTTTATTCACAATCCAAGTATGCTTTGGCCAAATTTCAGGCAAAAAGTTTGAAAGTACACAAAGATACAGGCCAAAAAAGATACAAGAAAGTGTACCGAGTATTGATTTTAAGTGTACAAAGTATTGCAAAATAGCCCAACTTAAGTGTACAGTGTATTGCAAAACAGAATGAGCACATTAGTATGGAAAATTGATATTTTTTGTCTATTGTTTACGTCTGTTTATCAATTCCATTTTATTTTGCTGATAATGTACTGTTTATATGATATTAATTAAAATATTTCAGGTTCAACAATGCGTTTTCAGTGTTATTACTGTTCTTTTTCTACGGGCAAATACAGAGATTTAATTTCCCATTTGATTGAAAATCACACTATGGATGAAATAAAGTGTGTGCAGGGTCGGAAGCAGGATCGGGAGCAGGGTAGAACCATCAAAATTGACGATTAAAATCTTTAAATACATGTCTCAAGAAACTGTGATCAAGGAGACCCATCTCTGAAAAGAAGATGAATAAAAATAACATATTTAGATGACATTAATAATAGGTTTTTACAGGGCAATTTTGCCTTAAGAAACATATCGACACACTTAGTAAAATATTGGCCCGCGGGCTTATGCCGTCCAAGCATGCCGGTTTCGTCTTTACCTTTGACTGCATAAGCATATGGCGAAAAATTGCTGAGCCTCCTG